GTAATCTTCCTCCATGCGGACCTCGTCCTTTTCTCCTTCATAAGCTTGTTTTATGCATGTTGAAATACTAATGTCTCCATCAAATTTAAAACTTCTGCTTAAATGTTGCGTCTTTACACGAGTGATGTAATCTGTTGGGAATCTTAATGGTATAAGTATTTCAGCTGATGTCTTTATATAATTGTTAATAATGTCCTCTATTAAATTCAACATGCTTCGTCGCGAAGGTTCGGGTAATGTGATTAAAATCCTGGTAATAGCTGTATTCAAGGTGTACTTGCTTAGCCACGTAAAAGTTGCTGTAATCATGCTCTCTCTATATTTTCTTCCTGGTATTTTTTTTATGTCCATGTGACGAAAGAAGTTCGTGAATGTTCCACGTTCAACATAATCGTTACCTAATAAAATTGCTGCCAATGGTAACATCGATTCATGCAAACCTCTAAATGAATTTAGTAAATATTCAGCTTTATAAATTTTACAACGTTTTACATATCCTTTCCCCCTTGAATGACTAACTACACAAGTATCCAATGTGTTAAACGGTATGTACTGTGATCCATATATATAAAAATCCGAGTCGTAACTAAGTACAGGACAATTTAAGATCTTTGCTACTGCAGCTATCTCATTATCAGCTTCAAATAGACACTGTGCGTGTCGAATGTTCTTCTTTATCATCACACTTCTGAACACATCAACTTGTAATAAGGGGAAAATTTCTGTTCTATGTTGACCGGACAGAGAAAACCGCGAAGCTGATTGCATTCTCTCTTTTCTCCTTACTATGCTTTTCCTTAATTGTTTATCCTCGTTGGCACCATCAATCAAAACCAACGGTGTTATGCGACATTTTAATAGATCGTCGAAAAAGATTGATACAGCACGTGCATAACTATCATAATCGCCGCCGAATGCAGAATTACATCTTGCGTCCATATATAACTTAAACATTCGACAACTTATGTTGATACCATCGATCACTAAATATGTATCATGTAATTCATAATTCCGCAAGTAACGATCGGAATGATCATGTATGTACGTAGTTAGTCCAGGAATTCCCATTTTGAATATTGAAACTTATGCACGCTAGTTTGAAATAACTAAATAGTTTCGCTCTAACACTGTAGGACAACTTTTTCGCAAAGGAAAATGTTTAAAATCATGTCAGGAACCTCCCATTAAAATTCCTTACACTAGTTTTGTATACATAACTACTCTCAGTATTGCGTTCTAATTTGATGTAACTAATTACGCGCGTTCGAACAACAAATTCCCCGTTTACGGTTTCCTTCACGTAGAACGATGAAATTGGATTTATTTCCGGAAATACATTCTCGTTTCTTGGAAGCGACGCATTTAATTCACAGTTTCATCGCGTAACCAGTGTAATAAAAGGAATGAATATGTATGATCATCACATGTACTTACAAAATTTTATAACGCCCGTTATCACGCGCAATTTATTTCAATCTCCAGCCGAACTGTGCGACGTAACAAAGGTGATACTTGAACGTTGAAAGATCGTAAACATGTCAATGTTTTCTTTGAACCAGGATAATTGCCATTGGCAATTACAACTTACTCGAAGGAACTGTAGACGACCATCGGCTAAGAATATGTCTGGACAATTAAGAAAAAATATCTTTATCCAACGATCTAGGAAATAACAGTCATTACGAAACACTATTAGAATTATTACAGTGTTTTGAACGGGAGATAGAAAAATACTGTGCGTCGATGCACGATCGGTCGTGAAGATCCACGTAAATCGATCGGGAGATCATCATGATATTTCGACTTGAATTAGGTTCGCGAGTAAGTACGCGTTTAGAACGTGGTGAGAACGATAATGAGTGGAACATCCCGAGGATGGCTGGATTCTTGGAAACGAAGCCTACGGTCTTTTCGACGGCATGTTGCGAAACAGGCATTGCAAATGATTCATAGCAAACCGCGTCCACGTGATCTTATGCGCGCTCACCTATCGAAGAATATCGTTTATTTGCAGATGTAATTTCCCAAGCCCTGAACGTAGGCACGTTCTCGGACTGGTTTCTCCCATTTTATCGATCACAAAGCGTAGATCGCTTATAGAAAATACAATGGCTGATAGTTTTTAACGAAAAGTTAGTACACCGTTTTAACATTTTCTACGAAGATCAATAAAAACGAATCTCGGTTCTTAGAACTCGTCAATTCGTGTCACGCACATTTGACCATTTTTTCTTTCAACAAAACGCATAATAGTATTTTTTATATCGGGTTCGCGCGTAATCCGTGACGTAGATTAGTTACTTTCTATTAGCATAAAAAGATTATGCACCTGTTGTCGGGGCCGTCAGAAGTGACCTTTCGAAACACGACCGATTACTCAGGGGGAATCGTGTTACTACATCTGTCTGATAACAAAAAGGTATGACTAAACAGGAGAATGAAGAAAGAATCCCGGTTTCTCTCGTTCTGTGCACACGCGAAGATCTCATTGACAAATGGCCTGCAGCTTGTGAAATTGTATGTATCACTTATCAGATTAGTTTCTCTTCAATTTCTCAACAGAAACGTATAGATATTGTTTTTCGTAATGTTTACGTCCCCGCAATAACCTTAGTCAATAAGTATTTGATATTTGCATTTTCCTCGTTTACAATTGACAGAGACCATCAATACAGGGTACGTATGCAGTATAATCGCGTTGTTATTTGCTACAATACATTTCTTTTTACATAGTGATAACGTTCGGTTTTTATGCTTTCTCGGAATCGATTACTACTGTCCATCGGTTTTTATATCGTAGTCTCACAAGTTCTATCGTTCAATGTGGCATACACTTTCGATAACTTTCACGGCCGGCAATATCGATGGAATTATTTATTTAAGTATCGCGATCCACTTGTCTCGTGAATTTGCATAGTTTTTAATTTATTCAACCAAGTCAATCATGCCTTTGTTCGGTCTGCTGATTGTAGTTAAGCAAACGAATAAAGATTACAGCAGACGACAGAATTTCCGTTGTCGCGTTGAGAACAATCACGTGCGAGATAGCATTTATAATTTCATTCCAATTTTCTGGCCCGCGGTGCATTAAAATTTTCAATGAATCTCGTGCAAAGGTTAATTCGATGAATTTTTCAAATATTCGAGAAAACTGAAGTATGGAACACGGCGTCGGTATGAATTTTAATTTCGATGACGCGCATACGCTGTGCTCGTATGCAGCCAGAGACAAGGTGAGACTTGAAATAATACAATTTCTTCAAAAGGACATTATAGAAGACGAGCAATCTGTTTTTGTTTTTTTCATTTATATCAGTTCTTTATTTCCCGTTTCGTACAACGTACGTGTAGAATTTCAAGCGATAATAAAAATGTCTGGGAAATAAAGCGAACCACCGAACAGATTTCGTCCAAACGATGTTCCCTTTTTTTTCTACTTCTGCGGTAGCCGGTGCGAGATATAAAAATACCGATAAAACGCGGTTTACTGGTACTATCAAACTCACCCGTGAAACACTTCTTATTATTATGTGTCTTAAGATTTACGACTTGTAATTGACTGTCTCACATAAAATGCGATACGTAGCGACAAAACTGAAGGAAAAAATAAATAACGCTTGATTGTATCTTTAATTTCTATAAATTAGCTGTTCGAAACTTCCTCGGATAATAATAAGAAAGTATTAGTCATTTAATTTGTTTTTGCATTAATTATTATCAGCTTCTGTAGCCCATTTCGAAAGAACTGATAAAACTGAACTACGTACTACACTTATAGATGTTTCTATGAAATTTTGATATTAGTAACATTCGGGGGCATTGCGTATTTAGAGTCAGTGCCAAAGGGCCCATCCTCCTTAGTAGATTAGGTTGTAGGAAAAAGCTCGGTAAAGAAAAAAATGAATAAAATGTAAGAGAAGAGAGGACAGAGGCGCATCACGAAATAAAATAAAAACCATGTTGGTACCGACGTGTTTACACCTCGATGCCGAGACACCGTGCCGTACTATAAATAAACGAGTCCATAGGCGTCGCCAATGCGTCGACTTTTTGGAATATTACATTGTACGAAGAAAATATTTTTTTCCTTGCAAAGCCTATTTAATTGAAATGTACAAAAGCTTGATAAAATTTTCGATCGTGCGCGATGAACAGACATTGTATTTACGACGACAACATACACGTGCATATATGTAAATATATTTTCGAAATTGTTGGGAGACTCGAAACGTATTCAGTCTTCATGTTAATAATCTACTTAGCGAAAAGGTCGAAATATGCGGTTTCTGTCTGATATTCAATCTGAATACATATGCATATTTATATGTCGTGCGTAAACGTATACGTGCAATATAAAATTCCAAGAAAATTTTGTATGCACATGAGGCAAGTTTGCCGGGGAAGTAACCATCGTTCTCTCGCGTGTTTTATCCAGAATAATTATCAAAAGTTACGCGACCGACAAGTTGTTCCTATTAATAAACGGAATACGAAAGAAAAAACGAACAGATTAAATCTCGACGAGATCTCCGGGCCGCTCAATGTCATCGAAGATGTGACTTGCCGCGAATGAATTCAATATGTCTTACGATCCATGATTCACGGGATGATTCGGGAAAACACTATGAAATAAGTATTTATTTTTAATCGATTTTTGTGGTTCCGAGCGTCTGACTCGGTAAGATAAAAACTAAGGCGAAAGTGCTGACCATATTATTCAATACATGAAAAGTCGTACCTATATGTCCTCAAATCTTATTAAGTCGATTACGTATGCATCGTTCGAAAGTCTTTCTACTACGAAAAGACCGATTAAACGCTTCTACATTAATTGAACAGTTACGGGCCGAAGGAGAACTACCTCATTGACCTAAATTCGTGAAATTATGAATCATTACATTTTAATGTTACAGATAAGCGGTGTTAATTGTTCGAATGCAACTATGTTTACGATTAAGAACGTATTATTCGCATAATATGATAACGTTTTAAAAATAGACTTGTGTTTACATTCCCAATGCACATGGTGCATGTATCGCGCTTATACGTATGCTTTGGGGAATTACGTGTATGTAATTGCTCCTCTCTTATCTGTCCATATTTTTATAGATACGTTATTTGAGCTTAGCATAAAGTTGAAATAATTGCAGATGCCTCGGAATCACCGCAGCACGGAAGCTTCGGGTTTTCCCTGAGGTCTCCCTTATTTTCTACCCCCGACGCCGGCTCGAATGTGCAACATGCGACCTCGTTCATAATGCATCCACTCGGGGAATGACCGTGTTGAATCAGTTGCGTTGCGGTTTCGGATCTGGCTGGAGTAAGTATGTGTCTTCGGAATATCGGCGCCAATGGTGCGTATCCGCAATTATTGCGTCAGCTATCGCAGAACGTCGTCGGTGGTTGGCCGGCCGCGAAGAGCGGGAAATCCCCGTTGAAACCTGCTCTTCCGCGCTATACGTCCCCGCTGACGTCTTTCACGTCACCACATCGCCGACCTAGCGACGGCGTCTTCGACAGAGAGACATTCCGGCGTCCAACGATTATCTAGTATCGTGTCCGCCGCCGCGACATATTGTTCGAGCCTCCGTTCCTCGTGCACCGCACTTGGTTTAAAATCCGTTCCTTTACTGGTATCGTGTGATATGCTACTTGTTCTCAGTGACTCGATGTCCTTGTCTCTTTGATATCTTCTCTAGATTCTTCGATTTGAAAGTTTCTCACCAACATAATACACATGTTGAATTTCGAGGATATTATTGTTAGCTCGTTTGGAGCGCGAGTGAATCCAAAAATGGATTCATTCGACGATCGGGAAATCAGAAGTGAGCTGGAGGTGAGTTTCAGAACGGGAAAATTCACTTTGATCAATGATTTAAACATGTGTGTGGATTTAAACATATATATATATGCATATATATATGTGTATATATGTTGGATCGTCTGGCTTTTCCATGCTGATACGATTTTTGCTTGTTTACGTTCTTACGCAGCTTGGTATATCGGAATCGGGAAGAAGCGTATAAAAGATTCACGTGGTTAGCGAGTGAATGATTTTTAACGCTGACAATCGCGTACATCGTTGGAGTTTTGTAATGAGCTTCTTAAAATAAAGAAAATTATGATCTTTACTGATTTATAGGGAGAAAAGGGAAGCTCCGCGATTTAATCCGTACGTGTATGTACTACATAACGCAAGGCGATCCTTAAGCATTTTAATAAAGTGAAATCAACGATTTTTTAATCTTACGCGACATTCACTTGTGTTTTAATACGTTGTACCTTAGTTATTTCTTACCTATTCTTATATTAAAACAATCGCCGTCAGGAGCAGGATTGTTTTCTTATAATTATTTTGTTCAGTTGAGAAAAAATGATATCGCGGCTTCACGGAAAGTGGCGACGAACGAAGCGGCGATAACTCGATCAGTCTATATTAACACCGCAGTTAGCACTTATCGTTAGGTATGGAATAAACGCGTGTTTGTAGATTTAGAGAAATGATTTGTGACTGTAATAAAATGTTGCCGATTCCGCGGAACAACACTTATTTCTGACGATACCGTATCAGTTGCATCTGCGGAATAAATATTGATGCAACTAGTGATTAGAATCTTTAGAAAGACGGAGCGTCACTTACAAAATGTCCAAGTGAATTATAATAAGAGGAAATTGTCAAAACGATCGAGTAGCAGTGAAAATATATTCCCTGATTCTTATCCTTGACATTTATATTGCTATTTTTATTTCTTCTACGAAATATGCGGTCATTTAGGAACCTTAATGTCCGTCCGCAATTTCATCTGTATACTTACTTAATTAGTCGCATCTTTATCGCGTGCCCCCGAACGAGTTCAGTCAGACGAGATTGCTACGATCTCGATTTTCTTCGCGTGTAATAAAAAGAGATAATGCGTTTGTAGCAGTGGAACAAGGTCATTAACGCAGCAACCCGACTCCTTCGTTTAGTAAGAGTTGTTTGTCATTCGATACGTTCTGCTTGCAGATGTATCCCTCGTTCCCGGATTTGAACGACGATGACAATTATTCGGTAGTGGACATGGACCGCTTAAACACGCGACGAACTAATGTCTTGACCACGCCTGATTACGAACCGGTCAGAAAAAAATGCAACTTCGGTAAGAAGATTAATAACATCCTGTTTCCTGTCGTCGCGGCTGATAACCGATCCTTCACTTGCATTTCGTTTCGTGTTCGATAGGTGACGATGATAATGAGATCGATGGTACCGGATGGTCCGCTAAACCTGTCGCAGAATGGAGTCAAGAGGAGACGATACACTGGCTGATGTACGCCGCGTCGTGTATCAGACAACCGTATGGCCTAATTCAAAATAGTCTCGCGGTGCCTGGGAATCAACTGATCCACTTCACCAGAGACGAATTTATCAGTCGTGATCCTATGTTCGGAAATCGGCTGTACGACCTACTCCCATCCAATATGTTACGTACGTACTTGTTAAACGAACAACATACCGGATGAAGGTAAAAATTATTTGTCATACTAAAGGTTGAATAAAAATTGCAGTTCCACCGTTTGACACGATTCATCCTCATTCCGAGGACGAGTACCACCGGATTAGTTCCAATAGCACATCAGGTAATGGATTTTCTGTAGTCTATTCTCTTTTGTTAAAGTATTTATTTCAATAATTTATACTTCGTTTAGACGCAGAATCAGACAGTAACAGTATTGACATATCCACGACGAAACGACCACCGGGTCGGCCAAGGGTATCGAAAAAACCGATTAAGAAGGGTAAGTAGTTTTGTTCGAAATATCTTTGTTAAATATGCAATTTGAACGTGTTCAATGAACGATATTTGTACAGCTCCTAGCCAGGGAAAGCTTTGGGAGTTCATTAGGGACCTCTTACTTAATAATAGGACGTGTCCAAGTTTAATTTGTTGGGAAGATTATTCTCAGGCGAAATTTCGCTTCGTGAAAAGTGACGAAGTTGCAAAACGGTGGGGCTCGAGAAAAGGGAACACGAATATGACGTACGAGAAACTTAGCCGAGCGATGAGGTAATTTACAGTAGTTCTGAATTTAATTCAGCAATCGGATTAATAATACATCTTGTACATTTGGTTTCTGCTTTCTTTAGATACTATTACAAAAGTCAAATCTTCCTACCCGTGTACGGTCGAAGACTGGTTTACCAGTTTGGGCCGAACGCGAAAGGCTGGCAAACTGACAACCCTAACTTCCGGTTCTAAAGACGTGACGTTCCGTTCTTTGTAAAAATTGTACAGAAAGTAAAATTAATGCGACCGATGTTCAAGAAACTTTTATATAACTGATGCAGGGTCGAAAGTGGTTGAACTGCGGCGAAAGACTACGAAAAAAGATTAGTATTATATCATGTACATATAGTTTATAATTACTAGGCGTAACTAGAGTAACCAGACGTATGAATGATTACAAATGTCGAAGTCTTTCATATTACATACCACGAATATTATGTGATAATACAATTGGAACGCTGAGTGTCGATTTCGATTTATTTTTATTTTTAACCGCAGTAGCTTATGCGTATGTAAAAGTGTACATACTCTAATCGAGAAAGGCAATAATTTTCTTAAAATCAAGTAAATTTACTATTACTTATCTTTTTATATGACAAAGTTGTATTATATTCCTTAAACTGGAAAAACGAGTAGCACTTAGTACTCTAGGCCTAAATGAGGTACGGAGTAAGCTTCTCAAAGAGGTAATTGCGAATTGCAGTACGAGCGATCGTAAGCTAAATTGGTACGTAAGAGTGTGAAAGAGAAGTAGCCGTAGCATCACTTTCACGAATTGTAAATATAGGAAGGACTTGATCCGTGTTGTCAAATGCTTTACGGTAGTGCATGCAAGAGTTGGCAAAAATATTTATATTATTTAAAGAAACCGCAATGGACGATTCAGTCGTTTATTAGTAATATTGGAATTCGACGTACGTAAAGATTGCGCAAGAAGAAGCATGCATATATTTCTCTTTTTAATTAATTCATTGAGCGAACTCGAAATCGTTGTTTGTACAATAAAACCGTAACGAGTATCCCTATATTTACTTGACCTTTTACGTTTTATAAAATCTTTTTCATATACTGTGATCAACGTTAAAATATCATGGAGATCAATTAAATATCTTTGCAGCGTAGCACGCATTTTAACTTTTTACTCTTATTGTACAGAATTTCGTAGAACTATGGAATAAAGTGCTACTGGATCACTTTTATCGATTTTCATTAATCTGGAACATCGACCCTGTGTTAGCAAAATGTACGCGAATTGACAACAGGTGCCGATACGTTTCCAAATCCGTAGTTATCGAATCGAAATTTTAGCGAAAGATCTACGGATTACATGATTTCTACTTTAAAAGTTTCAAAATGTAAATCGCAGTAAAATTCAGAATAGCGGGCCGCGATTTTTCTATCAATAACTCTTAATGATAGTCATCGATAATATTATAATAGCAAGCTGTTATGGACCCTATGTTCCTTTTTAATTGGCACTTACGTCTATCGAGTGGACTTCAATATCTGACTTATTCTAAGTAATAAACTTGGCTGGTATTCTTAATATAAATCGTAATCATAAGTCCTCGTATATCCCTAACGTGTCTACGACAAACTAATTTACCTTTTAATATTTCCCCTATAATAAAATTGTTTCGTTTAGCTAATTTGTATTTAATCATCAATTATACTTGGTCAGGAATATGCGACCTACCTTCAGTAATGCTGATCGGCTCGCTCAGCGAAAACACAGTTTGTTTCCAGTGCGTTGGGGGCGAGTATGGTCCCGTACTAAAATGTATCGGATTATCCAAATCGAAGAATATATCGAAGTAGCCAACGATTGCGGTCAGCGAACCGGTCTTCTTCACTTTGAATTCGAACGGCGATGAGAAGTTCACGCGATCCTTCGTTACTTTGTACAAATCGAAAGCTTGGATCTCAACGGCGTTCGTTATTAGCTCGTCAGCGTTGCAAATTTCTATACTAGGTTCTCGTACGACCTGCGCTTTCATGCAGCTCATTTTGAAACCGTACACGTTCGACCAATAATCAATGAGCTCGACGTATCTCCCTGTAACAATCGAAAGTTTTAAGTTAAAGATTAAAATGAGAAAATTTCATCGATACGTACTGGTGTCTCCGCTTCCCACAAGACTGAGGGTGCATCTGTTTGGTAGAAGCGTGCCACCGGGTGCCAAATAGTGGTCCCTGGCGTATATCACCGTGTCCAGCATACCCTCGAACAAAAGGAAATATCCCATCCATTCGGACACGATAGCGTCCACTTTATCTTCGTCGAGATTAATATCCTCGAGGCGACCTTTTTTCAAAGTGATCACATCACTTAAATTGTTCTCTCTATTTGTATGTTAAAAACACTCGTATTAGGTAGAGGCGAGAGTCGTTTGTGTACAAGTATACGTACTTTACTATGTCAATAGCATGGTATATCACGTCCGACTGATCGACGCTGATCACCTTACGGCAACCAGTTTTCGCTGCGAACATCGATAGGATCCCAGTTCCACAGCCGACGTCTAACACAACGGAATTACTGAATTTATTTGCATTCGTTAATAACGCATCTCTGTAACTTTCTGTTCGTACTTCGTCCTACGAAGAATAACGCTTGTATGATAAATACTATCTAGCAAATAGAGACGTACGTACTTACAGTCAACATCTCGTGATGTATGGCGAAATGACTGTAAGCGCTGAAGTACCCCTTGTCAACATTGCGGTTCGAATTACCGGAAGATTTGACAGTATTGTTCTCATCTAGATCACCGTCTAGGAGCAGCTTTTGTACTTTCTCTGACATTTCATCTATTTGCTGAAATTTGATGTCGTTCAATATGTCTCGTTTATTATGAAAATATTAACGGTAGAAAAAAATACCTGCTTCGCCAATAAACATGCTAACTCACGTTCCTCTAACTGTGCTCTAAGCTCATGTATCATTCTTTGCAATTCAGAATATTGTATATCGCATAATGCGACTGGCTTTGTAGTTTTTTGTTCCAAGTCTTCGATATCTGTACATGTAGAAAGCAAGAATGAAAACCATCATCCTTTCTACTCTGTTTCGCTCTTCTACTTACCGAACATCAGCCATGGATCATCCTCGATCACAGGCCTTAAATACTCGTCGCTCTCCCATGCTTCTATGTTTAATGTGTTTAATTGGTCAGGTAAAACATTTTTATTTCGAATGAAATTAATCAGCTTGATGTAAGAATACGTGTCAAGCGAATGCTTGATTATAAAACTTTTTAAGTCGAATGTATGAGACGATAGAAGGTGGTTCAGTGCCGCGGAGAAATTGTTTGTAACTTCGTTACAAAATAAGCATGGTATAGATTCGAAAGTATCTGTAACTTCGTCCCATTCGTCTCCAGTGTCATCGTCGCTGATTTCGTCCATTTCACATTCGTAATCATCCTTCAGAGTAGCAGTGTCTGAAGAACGTTAAAAAATATTTTTATCCATTCGATAACTAATACAAATGTGTACAAGTGTATAAATCGATGAAATATTGTTTATACCTTGATCCGTCATTTTGCAATCGATGGTAAAAAGCGAATATGCAACTATTTTTATTGTAGAAACGGGAACGTTTGAACTGTACAAGGTTAGAGGTCCGTGCACGTGTGGAGCCGAGCGAAAACCACGGGTTTTATGTTAAATCCATATTATCTATACCGCACTACGGTTTGCTTAGTCAATAAAAAATTCGCGGCGTAGGTGCTCGCGGCTTTGTATTTATTGATTTCACCCGTTGCTCAAGTACACTTGACCTTTTAAAGTTTTTTTATCCTCCCGGTGGATCTTGAATCTTGAGCCATCGAGCTTTGCTGTAAATACACAGAACGCTTTTTACGCTTTATGTGTATGGCTACACATATGAAAACCTGATGTACAAAACGTATAAGTAATCGTATTAAATTGACGATACGCGTAATTTATTATTTAAGTTTCGGCAAGTTTCAGTATCTCGATTTCCAGTTTATACGAAGGATTATTTTAAAGAGAAAGATTCTATTTAATGAGCGGTCTAATTTGCGATAGGAAATTAGTATGGTCATTTACATCGTATTGGATTTTAAGTATTCTCAGAAGCTTCAGCTTTAAAATGAACTTCCATAGGTATTTGCGAGTCTAATAGAATAAGAGATATGCTCAGTTGCCTAAAACCCTCTCTACCAGACATGTAACAGCATAATGTGATTTGGTTTCTTTATTTAAAATTCTTGAAACATTAAAATTATTTATATACGGAACTTATTCTATAGATACAACAACTGGTGCCTCGTCTTCGTCCTCTTCTTGCAGATCAGAGAAATCCCAGAGGAATTTCGCAGTCAATCGTTCGCTAAATCTCATTGCGTAAGATTTCAAACGACCATCCACGTAAGAATTGAGTTCTATGTTTGCGAACAATTTTCGTAGACTGTGATAAACGAAATTATTGTTAGCTACGATATCACAGAGTACATCTTCGGGTACGTGCATCAATTGCGTTTCGAGCGCCTTCATAAATTCATAGTAAATAGCGCGACGTTCTGGTATCGCGGAATCGGCGCCGCAGATAAGAGATACGAGTTTCTTCCAATGTTCAAAAGCATCTAGACTTTGACCGACCAAGAAACAGACGAATGCTAATTGCATTTCGCCAAGTACTTCCATAGGGCTAAAAAGAAGTACATATTTGTTAATAAGATATTCAAACTGAAGAATCTGAAATAAACGTTCGATCGCTTACAGTGGTAACTTCTTAAGAAAAGTGTCCAAAGCGTAACTCGAATCGAGAGAGTGCTTTGTGATTTCATTTGGCGTTGCGTCATCCGGATATTGTTTATTAGGTATTTTCGAAAGTCTGAGCTCTGTACCAGGCTTAGGTTTCATATCAGGCAACAGTTCATCTTCTTTTTCTTCGACTGTGATTCCACTTCTCTTTTTCCTTTTTGGGGTCGATTCACCGCCTCTTGGTCTCGCTGCGTCGGTGCAGTGTTCTAACTCTAGAGCTGATCTTACAAACCTGATACAATCGATTTACAAGTAATGTACAATGAACATGGAGAGAATAATTTATTGGATATAAAAATAATCACACACCCACATATTGGAGAACAACGTTCGACGATAGCAGGTGTAATATGATTCGTTAATTCTTTCCATTGATTCCACGTGTCGTAAGGATAACACCCTAAGAATCGGTCTAATTCTTTCAAATTGCTTTTTAATCTTTCAACCGTTTCTTCGTCTACAGCTTTATTCAAACAATTAATTAATTAATTAATTATAACAGCGTGTCCTTCGTCTGTTAGGCTACATTTTAAGTTCATAACTTATACCTGTCGAGTGTAAATCTTCCTCTTCTGGGTCCCAGCATTTGATTAAAAATTCAGATTTTTTAAATGTATGAAGGAAACCAATTTTAGGCGCCGTTTCTCCGAACTCGTCTACTGCGCTTCAAGAATATTGCATTTATAAATGCATCAATACTTTCGTCATCGGTAAGAACAATTCACCTCTGTAAAAGTTACCTGTAATGCACATAATGAAATCCTGGTGGAATCATTTTGACGCCTTTAAATCTATCAGCTGTGTTCCATGATTTCAAATCAATTCCAAACTCTGTTCCAACAGGCACATGTAACACAACTAATGTAGCACCCTCGACTAAAAGTCTCTGTGCTGACGCCTGATCCATTTTTATTCCGTCGCTACTCATTGTTGATAAAAAATTAAAGAGCCCGTATACTATCCTGCACAAGATGATAACATTACAAATAGTTTCCGTTGGTGTATACTCACCCACTAACACATAGGCAATTACTAAGAATCTGAAGATAGCCTCAGTACACGGTTCTTTCAAGAGAACGCGTTAACAGGTGGAATCAAAGGAAATGCGTGCCACGACCCGCGACCGTCCCATTTTATTATTTTAATTCTTACTCCAACTTCAAAATGTTTTCGCGCATGTTCTTTTTCGGGCGTATAGTGAGTGATTTATATTGTTCGTATATGTAGTTGAAACAAGAGAGTAGGGACGGGGACGACGGGGAGGCACTGGTCCAGGGTTCACTCGTTTCAGTCTTCACGCTGTTAGGGCACGTGGGAACTCCTCTCCTCGTGTCGTGGCCGCGATAACAATACCGGAGAGGTTGATAGGACTCGCGTTTCATTCAACATTTGTAACAACGATCGAAACAATAGTAAAGGATGTCGTGGCTTTTCGGATATCGTAACGCACAACCGCAGGACTTCTCGCAATTCATACAACCACCGGCAGTCGGTGGATCCGGCGGCGGTGGCAGCGGCGGTGGAGACGATGGTCGGACACCACCACCTAGAATGTCCCAAATGGAACCTTACCGATTTGATTCGAGCGCACTGGAGAGAGCGGCATCGGCTGCCAAGGAACTCGAGAGATCTAGTACGATTTATTGATATCCGTTCGGTTTTATTGCTCGTTATGCTAAGTTACGTAAGCGGAACGTGAAGCCGATCTCTTAGGTTACGGACCTCGTGCTCGCTATGACACGTTACTCTTTACTGTTTCTTCTATGATGATGCAACGATTTGTTGCTTGGTGAAACGAATAATTTCGTCAATGAAAATGTTAATCAAATCAAATTGCATGTCCATTAGGAACTACGTTAGCGTCCAAGCTTGTCGCTATTCGAGTAAACTCCGGGTCGAAATAGGAGGAAAGAGGATGTACAACTTACCAAAGTTGCGAGGAGCTTCCTCGACCAGTTCCAAATATCATTTAATCGAAATTAAGTTAAGTTACACTCGGGAACCTTTAATAGCGACTCTTCGATGCTAAATGCGTTCTGTACCATTTTTAATAATCTTTCGTCTATCAATAATTCTTCGAGCTCCACGTATTATATACATGATACACCGTATAAAACAGAAAAAGATTCTAACGAGATTGTTCCTGGTCCTGCAGCACATGCCAAAGAAGCGTTGGAACTTTCCAAACTACAGGAGACGACGAAACAACTGGAAAGACAAGCGGAGGTGAAAAAATATGAGGCGAGCATAGAGCAAATGAAGGGGGAACAGAAACGTATAGAGGGTGAAGAGAGGAGAAAAATTTTACAAGAGGAGACTAAGCAGCATCAGATGAGAGCTCAATATCAGGATCAACTTGCGAGGAAGAGATACGACGATCAGTTGATACAGCAACAGAGAATGAACGACGAGAACTTGAGGAGGCAGGAGGAGTCGGTAGCTAAACAGGAAGCAATGAGGAAGGCTACAATAGAACACGAAATGGAATTGAGACATAAGAACGAGATGAAGAAATTGGAAGCTGAAGTTAAAGCGAAAGCGAAAATAGACAGGGAGAATCAGGATTTGAACATAGAACAGATCCGAGTGAAAGCTTCCGAGAAGCGGGCCACCGTGTTGGAATCGATTAAAACGGCTGGCGCGGTGCTGGGTACCGGTGTCACAGCTTTCCTTCAAGACTGGGACAAAATCATAGCCGCTGCCGGCGGACTGTCGATGATAGCTTTCGGTGTATACACAGCGAAAGGTACAACGGGTGTTGCGGCACGCTATATAGAATCTCGATTAGGTAAACCGTCTCTAGTACGTGAAACGTCTAGATTCACGGTGTTGGACACCGTAAAACATCCTATCCAAGCTGTTAACAAACTAAAATCTAAGCAAACCGATGCCTTATCCGGCGTCGTTTTGGCACCAAAGCTAGAAGAAAGACTGCGCGATATAGCGATAGCTACGAAAAACACGAAGCACAATCGTGGAATGTACAGGAATATATTGATGCACGGTCCACCTGGAACCGGTAAAACGATGTTCGCGAAGAAGTTGGCGGAACACTCGGGTATGGACTACGCGATAGTCACCGGCGGTGATCTCGCGCCGTTGGGACGAGACGGTGTCACCGCTATTCACAAGATATTCGATTGGGCGTCGACGTCTAGAAAGGGACTTTTGCTCTTTATCGACGAGGCGGACGCGTTTCTGAGGAAACGGTCCAGCGAGCATATCTCGGAAGACCTGAGAGCTATGTTGAACGCGTTCCTCTACAGAACCGGTGAGCAGAGCAACAAGTTCATGCTGGTTCTCGCCTCGAACACGCCGGAACAATTCGATTGGGCCGTCAACGACAGATTAGATGAGATGGTGGAGTTCCGCTTGCCAGGTCGCGATGAACGCGAGCGTTTAGTTCGACTGTACTTTGACAAGTTCGTTCTTCAACCGGCGATCGAAGGCAACAAGAGATTGAAGGTCGCGCAGTTCGATTACAGCGCGCTTTGTAGTAAAATAGCCGAATTGACCGAGGGTATGTCTGGGAGAGAATTAGCGAAATTGGGAGTCGCTTGGCAAGCAGCGGCATACGCTTCCGAGGACGGAATATTGACCGAACAGATGATCATGGATAAGTGCATAGAAGCAGTGAAACAACATAAGCAAAAGGTAATTATCGTCTATCATTTTTTGTTTTCCATTCCCCTATAATAGCGCACTAATAATCTTTGCTTTGTTTTGCAGGTTCAATGGCAGAGCGAGCAAGAGAAACAGGAATCGAAATCGATTTACGCCACTGAAAAGGAGACAGAAGCTCAGCTTGTCAAACCTAAGATGCCTGCGATTGAACCACCGCCGAAAACAATTTCCGTAGCAACGGCATAATTTGTAACAATTAACATTGTCGCGTATAAGGGATACGTTATTAAAAGAAATTATGAATTAGTAATTAACTGAGAACGAAACCAGTGTAAATGATATCGATAAAAGCAGACGAGTCGAAGATCAGTCTGTATTCTCGTTTTCTGTGCAGAATGTGCATGTATAAATATTGTAAGGTAGTAGCAGTACGTTCCTTAGAGTATTATAAATTTGCAACTTGAATTGGTCACAGGCGTAAACGAGAACCGCGTGTATCAGCAGCGAGATGAAAGAACATCTTAGTATAGATTTTTAAAAAATTAAATATTTTGCAAACCGCATCGCGTTCAAATTTTTTTCTCAACACGAGAAAGGATCATTATTTGTATACCAAAAAGTCCCTCTTTGTACATTAAATTCATTTGTCGTCGTGCACGACAAGATTCCTTTATCATTACGTCGCTTACATGCAGTAATTGTAAGTACTCAGGAATCGCGATTATAAATCGTCTCGATATACATATGTAAAAAGAAAGTTATGGTATGCTGCGTTACGTGAATTATGAAATGTCACGTAACGCCGTATCCATTTATTCCTTGCCCCCAAGTTACCTTTCTGTACTCACTAACCAATAATAAATGTTTATTGTCTTTTTATTGGTATTCATTAAAGTAGATCGGGGGTTTTATCTAGTCGATGGAGAGGTGAAGAAGTCAGACCAATAGTGAAACGTCGAATCGTTAGCTGATCGTACCGAGAGACTTTTATTCTTCGTACAATAGTTGAATGCCTGAATGATTCGTGAACCCAATTTCATTGCTCGTAAAAAATAAGTACCTATATCGCTACCGCGTGTCGGCGTGACTCTATATTTAGAAGTAGCACGCAATAATGTACAAATTTGATCCAACAAGGCGTTGTTTAAAGGTAACGCAAATGTATAACACTTGTATCAATGTAGATAACAAAAAGAACTAAGGAAGAAAATGAGAGAATGGATGAGAAACAAAATGACGAATAAAATATTTTCACACAGCCTCACAGGTAAATGAATCGTGCAAACACGAGGAAGCACTTTAAATCTGATAATTAACATTTAAACTGGATCTGATATGTCCACATATACGTGCCTGACTAATAACTTTTTCGTTCAGGATCCTGCAAACCTGTTGCTCGTAACGCGTGAATGAAAAAAACAAAATTGGAATCGTACAAAACTTATTACGAGTTCGTATCTCCATTCCATAAATACATGCATACGACGATTCTAACTAGGTCGCGTTTAAAAGACAAAATGATGCGCGAAGAAATATATTGCTTTAGTTTTATTTCGTTAGTATCGTAAGCTCAGTCTGTTCGGTTTAAAGAACTCTTTGTAGAAAGACAAGGCACACTCGTACAGTTCATTTTCCCTTTGGTTTCTCGTTGGTCTTCGCCTTTACTCGTAATCCCGTGTAAAAAAGTAAGCACAGTCAGTCTCTAACGCGAAGCCCCCAGATACTCGTTCTCCGAACACCGACGGTCGGTCTCGCGACGGAACTATATAGGAACTTGTTGAGTTGAGTCTCACCGCAAGTAGCTTGCAACGTCTTCAATACTGGCTCGGGTATCACACCGAAAACGTCCAAGTACAATAGAGACGGCATGTACGCCAGTGTTACATATGTGGACGGAGGTACACCGTAACATCGGCTAAGTGAAAGGTGCTCCAATTTCGACAAGTCGAGCAGACTGCGAACAGTGTTCATCGTGAGCATGGTACAATCACTTAAATCTAGCTCCACCAAGTCTGGGCAACTTTTCACTAAGTCCTTCACATCTAAAAAATAGAAGGAACACTTGATGCGATCTGAAACAGCGGCGACACGAGTTACGAGTTGTTTTGAACGAGACTTACTGTCATCCGTCAACGTTTTCCTACACCCGGCTATGTTTAAACGCGTGATGGACAACGGCAAAGATTTACAAAACAGCGTCATCGATTCGGAGTCTAGTCCGCACCAAGCCATATTGAGGGCGCCGAGGCTGAAATATGAAATAAAATTGTCGGAATCCATTTCTTTAACTTCGTCTCTGACGTCTCTCTGACTCTCTTCTTACTTCGTAAGCTTCGTCAAATGTTTCACACATTCGATGTCCAAACCCTCGCCCATCGTCAAGTTCAATATTTCTAAATCCGTATTATCACTGATCGCTTTGCAACACGAGCTATTAATTGTACATTTTTCTAAAGATAGTTTTTTCAAGTATTTACATTTCGATAACAACAAAGCTAAACCGTCCGGAGAAATCACGGCCATAGAGAGATCCAAGTACTGTAACTTGCTAATGTAACCATCGACGAGAACCTCGCTGTTCTCGAGAAACACGGGATCCCCGATTTCCGCTTGAGCCAGTCGAAGTATCTGAACGCCCCTCGGTAGAATATGACCCAAGGTACCTTCGTTCAATACTTTGCCTCCTAAATCCAATCTAATCCATAGTGCCTCGTCTCTCGCTATCTGACACCAGCGTTTGCAAACTAACATAGAGCGTACCTAAAAATAGCAACGATTTCACCGATGGTGTTTCCTCACGTTTTTTATTTTCATCTTACCAAGCATTTCTTTGGAAGCCACTTCAGTATCATTAAAATCATTTCATCGGACAGTTTGTTAAACTTATCCTCTCCGACGATCGAAGGTTTTCTTTTTCTTCTGTACAGATAAAACTGTTCAAAGCTACTCTTCTCAGAACAGAGATTAGGATCATCTCTAGAGAAGGCTTCTTTCGTTTCGCTAAAATTATCTATCTCTATTCTCGATGAGTAACCAGATTCATTTCCAACAGCCGAATAAGGTGCGGGCTCGTCCGATTCGTATAGATCTTGATCCGATCTACAAGTACCTTCCAAACTTTTCAGATCATTTCATATTAAGAAAGGTACGAGACGTGAGACAGTGCAATAATTAAAGTACCAACCTATCCATGCTCATGTGACTTTCGAAGCTATCGACCTTTAGACATTGCTTCTCATTTTTCGTAACATTTACCGAGTTGGCATCTTCGGTGGAGCCAGATTTCTTTGTACTCTCGCAGTTCAATAAATCCTCTCCTTCTAACATGCTAACACCCATCTCTTCTAAAATCTCTGGCTCCACTAAACTGGCATCAGCAGAGTATGACCATTTCGAATTATCCTTGGGTGGGCTGTCTGTTAAAGTCCTGTTTAAATTGTTACAACTGTCGTCCACGCGTAATCGTTTGCTATGGAAAAGATGAATACAGGCAAAATTAATACATTTAGATCACCTTTTATTCCAGTATCATTTGGCGAGAGAATAGCAACCTGTTCCACCAAGGCGAAGGAGGCGATTTGGACATAGTAATGTCACGACTTCTCTTCGAACAATTTATTTACGAAAGCGTATACACCAAAATTAATTGATTTAGAAAGAACAGAACTTTTCCTCTCGACCCTCTCTCGAAATTCTACGTACCAGGGAACGTTAGTAGACTTAACGATTTCTAAATAAAAACATTGACTGTTTGTATACGTTTCTCCTCGCTAAGCAGCGAACAGATGTAGATTAGAATTCAAGTTAGCGATCGTTCTGTTCCGATACGTTTCCTTGTATATTTGTATCATTGTACTTGCGCGTCTCTCGATCGATCGTCATAAAAATGGTAAACAACACGAGAAATGATTATAACTAACGAAGAATATTCATGGAACCATTTGTCGAGGCACAGGATAAAAATCAGGACGAACTCACTGGACTCGACTCTCGTGAAGGTTCTTAACCTTACGTGTGCGCGCGAAAATAACCACCTGCATCACCTTGAGCAACAGGTAAGGGAGACGTGGACCGCGATTAACATAACTCGGTAACGTCTTCCGTAAATGGTAAACAATCAAAAATTTTTATCTACCTTTCGGGGGGTGAAAACTCTTCGGAATTATCAAGATAATCCTCGCCGAGTCTCGTGTGTCCCTCCACGCCGGAATTCATTTTTGGCGGAATCCCGTTGTCGCGATCCTCTTTTTTCAATCGCTACTCTCGCTACAGTCGCTACTAGCCGCGCTGGCCATGCGGTCGTCGCGTTTGTTTGGTTGTATTACGAGGCTAGGGATGAACAGCGTTGTAAGGTTTCAGGAATTTAAACTGCAACGCCGTCCGTTAGGAATAGTAAAAACTGAGGTTTCACTTATGTACAAAGATTTGAGTAATTTCTTTCTAAATATTCGTCAATAACCTTATATAGCTCAATGATAACCGCACGCACGAGCCACGTGTCGTGTGAGCTCGGAGTTACGCTTAAGAGAGACAAGGCGAACATCGTTTCCAAACGAAGTATATGCCAAGATGTTCTTGAAAACGAGTAATATCACGAATTATAGCTGATTCTAAAAATTAGGTAAGTCGTACTTACCTCATGATTACAAAAAAATAAAGTATGGTTATTTAATATAATCGCTATATAGTCGCGCCTCTGACACGGCAAAAAAAGAGGGTGGGAGTTGTATTTGATCGATAACGCGATGGGAGGTATAATTCTAAGCAGTTCGAATCGTGACGAAACGTAGACATAATATTTACAAACTCTATCGAGTAAATGCTATTTTATTAGGAAGCTTACAAAGTTTTCTCGTAAGACTGGCTCGCTCTTACATGAAGAAACAATGCTTTCCGTAACTAGGCGAAACCAAGCTTGGCCAGAAACAGCCTTCTCACAGACGTCTACGCATAGACGGAGACGGAGCACTAACTCTGAGGAATAGGAAGATTCTGAGTCGTGGTCATGATATGTTTAGGGAACCATATGAACAACGCTTGTATTTAAAAATGTTTCGAAAGAACAATTAAAATTACTGATCAGTATTGGTTTTATGACGCTAAAGGGAGTTATGAGTCGAAGCGTTTAGGTTTAGGTATAGTTACGACGAGAAGAATGGTACATGGTCCCCTCGGCTGAGGCCGAATGCATTCGAAATTACTCTGTACCTGTGGTGTCATAGGCAAGGCCTAAACATCTGTCACATAGTGATTAACGAAGAATATTGAAATCGAAGTCGCTGCACTGAATCTTCACCTGGAAGCTAATGCTCCGTCCATGTATGAACCTCTTGTTCTCTCCCTTTCACACGCAACCCAAGTTCGAGTCGCAGCCGAAATTACTTTACAAGAGATTTGTCTTTTTTTTTTTTTGGAGAAGATTGTTTTTGTCGATCAGAAAAATCATCCACGCGAAGCGTTATTGCTCCAACGTATGCATCTTCGAAAATCGTAAAAATGCATTTATCCCGTTCCCGTCGTTAGGTATTTCTCGTTTCGTTCTGCTCCTCTTACCGTTCTGCTCGGTTTACGTACAAAAGTGTATCTTTGTATACGAGGTTTGCGTCTCTTTTTTTTCACAGAAAAAAGGACGAGCATCGTTCTCACGATTGTTTAGCGACTCTTGACACAGTGTATGTATATAAATATACGTAACTGATAGATCATCCGAAAATTGATGAAGAGCAACGACGGGTTTCTTCCTGAATGTCCACGATACAAACGAATCGCAGCTACCGCACATCCGAGGAATTCTGTAAATATCGGAAAGACAAACAGAACTTAAAAAAAAGAAACAAAAGATAATACGTTCATTTAAAAGGCGTCTTTGACGTTCTTTTTTATTTCGATGCTTCAAGGATATTTTTTATCAGTTTTTTCTCTTTCTCTCTTTCTCCCCTTGCCTCTCTCATCTCTTTGTGTATACTGACTTCTGTTCAGAATAAAAAAAAAAAGGAAAATATAACGAAAATGCTGTCTCTTCCAAGGTGTACTCGAAGTAGAAATCATATTCGACGAGCACTCGATTCCTTCTCGATCCACTCGAGACCGAACGTTCGTTGAATAAAATTTCTCGCTTTTCCTCTCGTCAAATTTGTACAATTTGACACGTTCGAAAGTCACGATCTCGTTTGCGCTCTCGTGGATTCGAGGACGGAGACGCGAGGGTAGAAGCGTCTTTCGTCACCCGGAAGAAACTCGTAAACAGTGTTGCGTGTTTCGCGCACACAAGTCTTAACACACCGCTGCGATAAGTACGTCGAACATCAGTTGTTCACAGATGTCCTGTGATTTTTGATGGACGAATTTTAGAGAACCCGGCGCTCACTCGATTCAAATTGATGTTCAGGGGTAAGTGGCATCTGTTTTCGAACTCGAATTAAAAAACCGGTGTGGTGGGTGGATGCTTTTGAAAATTGCGATCGTGCGAAGATTCGTCGATTACCGCAACGGTGTCTCAGCACGCGTGTATACTTTTACAAATCTATACAAAGATGTTTACCCTTTCGGTTAAACTTAAACTCTAAATATTGTTTTTTTTCATCAGATTTCGCTGCACGCATGCACACACATGTCGCATATATTACGTACACGCACACGTTCCCCGCGTTATTACAATTTGTAGATCTATATTATTATGGCCATATATAGATTCGATCGTTTCGAGTTCACAGATTTGTCACTGCTCATCTCTTTCTCTTCCTCTCTCTGTCCCGCACACACACACACACACATTCATTCTTTCGCGTTCTCTTGTATTTGAATGTTCTTCGCAAAAAGTATTTGTCTGCACTTGATTTATCAACACACTGAAAATATGTTTTGTCGCTCGACCCATACCGATCCCTGATGATTTCTAATTGAATTGTAGAAGATACAAATGGTTGCAATCGGATATCGGTCGAGAATGGGCTCGATTCTTTTACCGAACTGAAATCGTGTCGACGCGTAATAACCAAATGAAAAGAACAAATGAAAAATGAGTCGGTTTGAATTGAGTCGTTAAATGCTGAGAATTTCAGTGGACGTTACAACGCGTCCGGCACCGATCTACGATGAACAAAGGTAAAACTAAGTCGGAGCCAGAAGAAACGATCACGCGCCAGCGGGAACACGTATCCCCTCATCACTCCACTTCTTGTTCACCGTTCGTCGCACGGTCGTATCTTCCGACCTACCAAAGAAAAAGGGGCAAAAATCGCGGTTTCCGTGGTTCGAGAAACCGATATACGTAATATTAAATAATGTTTTTTCTCGTTTCTACGTCGTAAGCACGTGCAATTACGCGACTAGGCGTTCGCACGATTTATTTTCTTTACAACGTTCGAGTGACACCGATCTCTACAATTGGAAGCGGTGAGAATAAATTCACAAGTCTTTCATTACATGATACAGATACTAGTTTTCATACCGTGTCCAGTTATAAAGATCGATGCCGACAAATTGACAGCGCTCATCCCGTTATCAAATGTTTCAATTTTCAAGGAGACAAGATTCTCGCTCGAGGCTTGACATTCAGACCTTACAGCATATACTGTCGTATATACTCTAATATTCAAACCGATGGATGGTGTACCGCTGCAACCAAACATTTGTTAACGATTATACAGGCTGTTGCCCGAGATACATATCTATCGCTCTCTGTGGACATCGAATTTTCATTCGAGATTAATATGGCAAAACGGATGACGCATGTATATAAGAGAGACTTCGGAAAGATCGAACATCCTCGAGAGGAAATTTTAGCGTAACCCGTGTCTCAGTCCCTGTGTGCCCTTTATCGTCTGAACGAATCGGTGTTCGCTACCACCGCGTATCTCAAATAATACCCCATACTTCGGACACGCTCCGTTTTAGGGTCGCTCTCATCGCGAAGGAAGAACAAGTTAAAACGATCGATGACTCGATAACCCTGGATGGACTCGGATCGCATACAGGCATCGTAAGCTCTATCTCTATCTCCTCGGCTCTCTTCAAAACGCGCGATAAGTGTGCGCAATTCGTAACAAATTTACGCAGCCTTCGTCAACTGCCCTGAGTAAAAAGTCTCCCACCGGACAGTACGATCCCATATGCATATACTGTAATCACTGCGTGTCGTGTCACACACATACTGCGATCCAATCTCCGTTGCTTCATTTTATAAATTTCCTCTCGAATCTCACGCGATAGGACGTGCAGTTGTATCGTTATATACGCGTCTAGATCTCTTTAGGCGTTAGAGAACCAAGACAAACGTTCGACGAAATTTCATGTTTACGCAACGTGCACTGGAAACGCCTGTCGATCATCAGGACAGATCTGTTGTCAGTTCGGACAATCGACGATACTTGTACTCCGTAAAAATAAGAATTGCTTGGCGAAGAAAAGAAGTCGTTTGCAATCGACGGTGATCGTGACTGCAGGTGGGTAGACGCGATAAAACGACACTCTCGCTCTCACTCCTCTCTCTTTCTCATCGATAAAACTCTACAAAAATACGTAACAGTAATTAATGGATGTTTTGTGTTTTATGTGATCTTTCGTGTAGTCTAGAGGTTCGTAGTTATTTCCGTCAATGCACGTGCATATCTCACAGCGCAGTGGAAATCACTCTCCCGCTCTCATTCGTTCACTCAATCACTCTCTCTCTCTTTCTCTCGCTTTCTCACTGTATTTCTTTTTTTCCCCTTAATCAATTACGACGCAGGTACAATTTTTTCTGTATTTTTTCTTTTTTTTTGTTAAACTAACTTTTTCTTATATTCTTCCTTACGTGCTAACTTCCTACAAAGATACTTAAGAGACATTTACAAAAAATGGCCGTAGTCGTCGCCCCTTTCTCATTTCTCGACGTAAGCACGCGTTATTCTCTTTTCCTTTCTTGGGTATTCTTATTCGCGACATTTTCGGACTTACACTCTACTACATTCTTAGATACCTACTGAGCAAACTATTCGTAACATGCACCAAGAGACGCGCATTCTTTTATTACTTTTGTCACTTTAACACCGTTTCTGTTTTTTTCTCTTTATTATTTTTTTTTGTATTTTTTTCTTTTTCATTCGAAGACTCTTTGCCGTTCTCAAAAAAATGAATGTCAGTAGGGAAGAGAAATGTCTAAGCGCTTCATTAGTCGTAACCGCGGCACGAGATACGACGCGAAACTAAAGAAACAAATGGGAGGAAAAAGAAAAACTAGTGCGAGCAACCACGGAAGGTTTCTCTTCGGAAATACTGAACACAAAAATTCATTGAACAACTTTTTCCCTACATTTTTTACCTGCTTATACATGTAAAACTTCTTCGTTAAATCAATATGAACGAACATACATCTGCATCATCTCTACAGTGAAAAAATAAGTACAGAGTTATCTACCTATGTAGTTCTTTTACGTCGCGTCATGTATAACGTTTTTAACATAACAATCTAGGAACACTTTTAACAGCTGTCGAGTGAAGATTCGGAACCGAGAGGGCAACGATAACGTTAAGTCGAATTTAAATTTCGATTTAAATACAACGGAACAACGATGCCTCCCCCGCTGTACATTCGTTCATATCGATGTTTAACGAACGTAAAGCAGAACGTGACAAACGAATTGAAGGAGAGCTGCATCTTTACGAACTTAAATACGTTAAAAAGCAGGAAACGTCAGAGAAACTAGTACGAGATAACAAGGGAAAGAAAGAGAAAAAGAGACGATGGAATTCGCGCGCGATGTTTATAAATTCCGTGGAATAAGAAATCGCGAAAAATTATTGTCCGAGAGTTACGCGCCAAAGACGCGTGTCGCGATGTATATACTAATCGTGCTCGCGTGTCCAATAAAAGGTCGTATCGTCGCGCGAATCAAGATCCAGTCAAAGAATACGCGTAAAGAAATGCGAACGATGAAGAAAACGAAGTAAAGATGCCCCCGCGTTACTTTCAAACGAAACACGACCTTCAAAGTCAACCGCGTATAGGATTCGAATCACTCGTTACCGTTTGTAAATCGTCGATAGAGATGTAACATTATTGTACACACTTGTTTCGTATCTGTACATGCAGACGTGTAAATACGAATTATACGCTACCAAGAAAGGAGATGCTTGTTTCTCACGAAAAGATATTACTTCTCAGCCACTCGGTGTCATGATAACTGGTTTGTTGGTCTGGAGTTCGAGCAGATTTGATCGAGCCTTCAGTCGGCGCTGCATCAGACGGCTCTCGCTAGGCGGTGACAAACCGAACAGCTGATGCAGCGAGGACTCCTTCCCGATCAACCGATTCTTCCCGATCACCTTCGCCGATTCGATTCGGTCGATCGAGGAGGAGCAGCAGTTCTTCTGACGCGCGTCGAACTCTCCCGAGGAATGATTCGCGCAAACCTTACTGTGCTCCGACAGTTCGCTGCCCGAGTCGGACATGTGCCCGTAAGGATGGTTGTCCTCGTCCGTCGACGATGTTGACAATCTCGGCTCCCTCTTCTCCGTCAGTTCTTGCAAATTCACGGAGAAGTGTTGAAGTACCACACGATTCACAGCCATTGCTGATTCAGCGAACGCCGAGAGTTCTCTAGCAGAATTGTTCCTCCTGGGGACGAACGAAAAATGGTGAGACCTCTCGTTGCATGATACATGCGTACGTAACGCAGGATATGATCAAATTAACGATGAGAACGAACCTAATGATATGAGGAGTAGTGAGAGATTTTTCGGTATTCTCGACGGAATTCGGACCGGGAGTGATCCACGGATGTTTCAGAATGCTCTCCGCGCTGAACCTTTGTTGGGCCTCCTTGACGAGTAGACCCCTGATCAAATCCTTCGCATCCTCCGAGATACTGCTCCATTCGTTGTCCGGGAATTCGTACTTGCCCTCTTGAATACTGTTGAACAGGAGCTCCTGGCAAGCTTGACAATTCTCCCCTCTCTCCCAGCCGCAGTCGGAGCCGCAATTCCCATAGAACGGCGGGTAACCGCACAGCAAGATATACGTGATCACCCCGAGACTCCAGAGATCGCAACGCTTGTCGTAGTAGTTCGCCTCCCCGATGAAAGCCTCCACGACTTCGGGAGCCATGAAATCGGCGCTGCCGACCGGCGTCAGAAGCTGTGGCGTGGCTACGGGGCTCGACAGCGAATTGTTGAACTTAATGCCTGAACCGAGATCGAAGTCACACAGTTTGATCGGTGTTAATTTGTCCGGATAGACGCACAAAATGTTCTCCGGTTTCAAATCCCTGTGAGCGATACCTAGACGCAACGAAACGAGAAAAGAATGGTTCAGGCAACGGGCGGTATTGTAATGCGCCTAGCATGTCTTCCGAGTTATTTACCTTTCTTGTGAAGGAAATTTAGCGCGCTCGCGATCTCTCGGACTATCTCGCTCGCCTCGCGCTCGCTGAAGTGAATCCTCTCCTGTATGCGGGTCAAAAGTTGGCCACCGTTCACCTTTTCGAACACCAGATAAAATTTCTCTTCGTCTTCAAAGAACTCGATCAACTGGATGATGTTCGGGTGCCCCTGACAGTGGTGGAAAGTCTCGACCTCTTTGAATACGCGCGCCCGTGCGTGTCCAGGAATCTTATCGATTATCTTAACTGCGTACTCCAAATCCGTGTAGAGCGATCTACATGTCTGAACAGAAGCGTAAGCACCTTCGCCAAGAACTTCGCCAGTCAATTTGTACAGTTCTGAAAAACGAGAAAAGAAACGTTTTTAATAGCGATTTTATTTAGCTCGTGCGCGGGTCGCTTTGGCGAATACCGACGAGAGAGAACAACGGGGATACGGGGCGACGGGGAAAGTTTGTCCGAAAATAATCGTGGCTCGTAGCACGTGCACCGGTCCAAGACCGCGCGGTGGTGCGCGATATCCTTTATTATTATTCATTCGTGTAAATAATTCTCTTGTTTGAAAATCTGTATTCCTCTTTCTTACCCACGATCAAACACGATACATATGTAGTACTTCCGTTCCATTCCCTCTATGGACTCGTTCAACGTTGCAAACGATGGACGTACATACGAACTTGCAACTTCGCTTAACCCACGGAAGTACTTTCATACGTACACATATTCTTATTCCTGTTTTATTCCGCGTCAAACCACGATGATTTTGCTTGGCAACACAGCTGAATATCTATACAGCGACCTCCTCATTCCCCTCCTCTTCCACGTTCCCCTGTTGGCTCTTTTCGCATTATGTAGGTACATCTAATCTAACTCGATTGTAGCAGCGGTGGTAAAACGACGGTGCGGATTCAGATTTTGCCGCATAGTCAAGAGTTCCCTGAGCGTTGCCGATATTCGAGTCTTGGAAACGAAGCTACCGTCTTAGAATCACGTTTCGTCGGTAGCTCCTCCTCAGTGTCGATCCTTAATCTTATCCATATCGCGAGAATTTCGAAATACTAATACTCACTTTCTAATCGTTTAATTTCATATAGCGTAGGACCTGGACTTCTTAAGAAGGAAGTGGGAAAAAGGGCACGGAAGCGGTCCAAATAGTAGCGTACGCACAAGTGCTTGTAATCGTGTACGTGCAGGTACTACGCATAGTGTTCACCAGGGTAGTGGGATGGAAGCACGGGAGTGGAGAAGTTTCTCGAACGCTGAAACTCCGCTACGAATCGATCGCATAAACGCCTCGGTAATAGTTTCAACCGTGGAAGTTGATTTTCAAACGGCACGAATTTCTTTTCATCGCCAGTTTCACATGTCGCTGATGAATCGATTCAGTCGAACAGGATTCGTTACTCAATGAAAATGTGTATGTACATAAACGATACGCGTTCGGGTTTCGTTAACTGGAAATTCTTGTGAACATAGATATTTCGTAGTACAAAGTTTCAGTAAGAACGAAACGTAGACGTGTTGGAAAATATTTTGCGTGCGAATCGACGATCCTACGTATTGAAATATAAAAATAAGCCAGGCCATTGCACTAGGTCCTGTTTAGAAGGAAAGGCTAAGGTAGGATTGCGACGATCGATCGCTTCACGAGTTTCCCGAACGTTCTCAACTTGTGCAGCTAATTGCAAACGAAACGCAAAGTCACCCGAGCACGGTTACACGTCGACACGAGCATACATATCCAAAAACTCGACTGTTCAATTACCAACCATGATGTGATGTAATCGTCTCCTTAATTTACACGACTCTTCCGACGATGTTTAAAAAATGACCGTAGCGCGTTTGTGCGATGCGACTCGATGAAATACATAAACGCATCGTTAAATCGATGGAAACCTGACTACGGTGTAAGCGTTCGGAGAAGTTTCGAATTTTACCTTGGAAGCAAGAAGACATCAAGGACGAGCCAGACCGCTTCTTCTTACGTCTCTTGCGTCTAGCTTCCTCCTGTCGCGCTTGCACAGCGCTCATAGATTCGCCGGTCGCGTTCACCGCATCCCTGCAATTCGTCTCCTCTGTAACATAAACACCGCGTTCGATTAGCAACGCGAATTCCGGCTTACGGTATATCCGCGTTACGTGTCATCGGTGTAACGTGTACGTTGCGCAATTTGCGGAGAATCATCCGACCGGCGCGGCGTATACACGTGACGACACGTCTGTTGTTACCGCTATACAGGGTGTCTCAGAAAAAGTTTCAGAGCCGAAGAGAGGTGATTCTATAATTGTTTCCGATCAATAGTTTCCTTTACCAGAATGCAAAGTGAGATTTGGTTTTTAAATTATTAACGAAAAACACTGATCAATGAGAGTACATGTGATGTACATGTGAGCGCGGGCCCTATGCGTTTTTCGGTAACGATTCATAACTTTGCATTTTACCAAAGGAAATTGTTGTTCAGAAACACTCCCAGAATCACCCCTTTTCGGCTCTAACACTTTTTCTGAGACACCCTATATATGTTTATTTTCGTGCATGCACATTTATAGTACGCTACATCGTTTGACAACGATAACATTACTCATCACTTACTTCCTCAACACCTATCGATAATATTCGTCTTATCAGTCGCGAACGATTACAGATTACGTATTCGATTTGTCTCAAACGGCGTAGTTGCACTCGTAACGTTTGAGTCAACGTTACTAACGTAGCACGTAGTAGCGAATAACATAGAGCAAGAATCATTTCTGAGTTTATACAGAAGAGTGACAAATGAATGGAAATGAAAATAATAAATCTTTAAACGATCTAAACAGGTACTTGCCAAGTACTTGTACGAACATTCATACGACATGTATTTGCACTCTGGTTTGCATTCGTCAACTAATCTACATTGATATTATTATTTACTGTTGCTATTACTGACGAAAGAATGTGAATGAAAATAATTCGATAACGGCGCGATAGCCGCTGGTGGGAAACGAGAGAGAATTGTAGCAGTTGTACAATCGCGATACGGAAGCATGATTCAAGTTGCAGCGAATAGTAATACATTTTTGTTGTTCGCACTGGCGATGCGACGGCGGCGAACGCAAGGAGTAACACGGTCGAGCACCGAGAGGCTCGGAGTTCAATGACTGGCACAGAAAAGGAACGCCGCCATCTTATGCGAGATACACATGCACACCGGATGATAATGTTGCCGCTTGCTGTTCGCCGCATCCTACCAAATTTCAAAAGAAGAAACATCCAAAATCGATAAGACATCCCTCGTTCAATCTCTCGAGCGGAAGACATGCGAACGAGTTTTGCTTCAACTCATTGATAATTAAAATCTATACTAAACCCGGGTGATGCGTAATCTATTAGCGCGGTCAAGGCCATGAACATAAACGATAAGATCTTGCCGTTCCTCCATCGATCTCCAATAACAACAAATAAACTTCTCCGTATCGCGAATAAAGTTTTTCTCGATGAGATGAATCAGTTTTTTGCAGGAGTTCCGTGGTCCCCCTCTCGAATTCGCATAACGTATTTGTCGTCCTTCCCTGTTGAAACGTTCCCTTTAAATCAGGGGATAGCAACCAGCGCGACATGCGCGCGAGGACTCTCTCTTTCCCTTTCTCTATCCACCCCTTTAGATCCCGGCTCGGTCTTTGTTTGGGGTGCCCTTACCATCGCTCTCCTTCACGATTTCCATCCAACTCGAACACGAACCGACTAACCCACTTCGACCCTCGAAAATAATTCAACTACGCGGTGCTGCGTAACTGCGTAGTCTCTCGGCCTCCCCTCGGCACGAGCCCGTCCTTCGTTAACCTTCGCCCTTCGCTGTTCGCGTTCTGCGACCGCTACCCGTTTCCTGATCCCCAACATCAAATCGTTTCTCGAAACAACGCGGCTTCGATCGTTGAATTTTTTCCATTTCCCCAACGTTCTATGCGATTTCGTTAAGAACAGAACGTACCTAGTTTGGAGAAAAGCGAGTCTTAACATGATAACGCGTACAAAACACACTGAATGGTGCTCTTTCAATGGGAGGGATACGTGTTAAGGTTGAAAACGACCCACATAGATTAGCACAGCTGAATCAATTGGCGTCCCTTCGATAACTTTCCAACTAAGGGATCAAACACGATGAATCTATCAAAATAAATGCGTTGCAAGTTACTCGAAACGAATTAAGTACATGCGATACGCTAAAAATAACTTGTACGCGCGTCGGACAGAACAGAGGAAACGCAATAGGTGGTATAAATTTAACGCTTACTCTCCTGCGGTTCGGGTCGATTTCGTTAGGATCGAACCTGGAAATCTGCAAGATTCGATGAAATTCAAACCATAGGGAACAGTCGAGAACATGTTGCCGAACGACAAAGCTGAGTCTTCGTTTCGTACGAAAAATAAGATGTTACCGGCGTTACAATGACTCGCGCTTGTCGATTAGGATGCTGAAAACGCAAAAATCGTGAGTTCTATACGAAACGGAAAAGTAAAAGCGAAGACTGTTGGCACCGCGCGTACCGGCTTCGAGAAAGTTCTACCATCAACCGACTCCGAGTGTCGCGTACCGTGTTTTTCCGCGATTGATCTTACAAATTTCCATCTCGTATCATATGGCATTTAGATGAACCAACCCTTACCGTATTTCTTGTCGAGCTTCCCAACGAAGTATCAGGTGTACAATGGCAAATGTTGGTTAAACGTCACGTAAGAATGACAAGGGTTTTATTCAAGAGAAAGTGAGCATGCACCATCGCGATACAATGGGATTTCTATATCGTCTTATGGTTTAAAACCGTACGCGGGGGCATCGTTTGAGCTACCTTGGAGGAGAATGATATGCATTAATAGAATATCGATAGATTCATACCTCGTCCAGCCTCTTGGCACCCATCCTCTCGTTCTTCCAAGATTTTCTCCACCATTTTGACGATACCACTCAGCTCGGTTATTAGCAAAAGGGAACCGAAGAGAAATGGTATGTTTTTTTCTCGAGACGAGGCTTCTTCTCGTGCTCCTTATTCCTTACTTCACGAACAATGATTATAAACTCACTTTATCTCTCTTATCGTGTTCTTTCACTTAATAATTGTAAAAAAGAGTCAGTTGTATATACAAAAACATCTACGTCCACTAAGATACTGATATAATCTTCTCTCCCATTATCCGAAATTCCCGAATCTCGTGTGCGAGGTGTTCTCGTGTATTTTATGCTTCTGTCATTACCGACGCGCACTATTTTATTCGATTTTCCTCTCCTGGGACAGCTGGATGTATATCAGTGTCGGTATCACAGATATAAATAAATATATAAAGGCTACCTAGTTCTCTGTTTCTGTTTTTCCAACTTGCTTCGTGACTTACACCAGCGACAGGCGATGTTACCGTAGTCGATGATACGCGTCGCGGATGAATCGTTTGAATAAATACTATCACAGACTTGGACACTGCTCTTCCTCAGAAGATATATCTTCTTCAGCCTCCGTTCTTTCCTTCTTTTTCAATTTCTCACGATCTGCCGCTGCCTCCCTTTTCTCTGATCACTACCGGATCGACTCCGCCACCGTTTTTCAATCCGACAAGATGTTAAACGAGCAGCGAGCAAACCTCTTCGAGGAGAATCAAAATATCCGTAGGACCGTTTGATTCCGCCTCGAGTTCTCTTCCAGACCCAGCTTCGAAACCTGGCCTACTTCCGCTCTTCCCTCGACTCCTCTTTCGCAGGATAAACCGGGGTTTCTCCGTAAGCGAAAATCTCCTGATGGTCGGTGCTCCGTTGTCGGTATCGCACAGCCTCTTCTCGCACGTAGCGGTAACCGGGCTCGGAAGCGCATTAAAAATCCTTCGGCTAACACATCGGGTCTTCTGTTCATTCACCTTCCCTCACTGCTCGGCAGTTGGTTTCCGACTGAACCTCGCAAGATGGCTGCGTTCGCTTACTAACAGCGGCGGCCCCTCCGTCTCCGCTAACGTCGACCCAGCTCGATCCCTACCAAACGTCGTCCTCCCGTCTCTCCTCTCCCACAAGCTGCTTCTACGCTGCGACGGATCGGACGATTTCGTCGACGCCCTCTGAAATCGTCACGTAGCTCCCAGCCAGGGGCTCTCTCTTGCTGCGCTGCTATGCTCTTCGTCCACGTATCCAATCCGCACACCTATCTACTATATACACGAGTATCTAATTACGAATTATGAATCGCATGATGCAAGTTCCACGTTGTTTACGCTCTTACTCGGCCAATTCGCTAACCATGTTATCTGAATCCGAGTATGTGTAACAAAATTTTTCTCGAGGACATCGTCGCCTCAAATCGACGCGCCAGAGGTTCTCCTATCGCTCCGCGCCCAGCTATATTTGTTATTGAACTGCTCGGTACCAGTTTTACGCTATTTCTACCTCGACTTCAATGGACGTACCCACCAGCTCTTTCGAACGATAATCGACCAAAGCCTTTACAATACTTTATTTCACGTTCCATCGTTTGCCGGCTGTATGAGAATCGCTGGCCATATGTTTGTAAACGTATTGTCGCCGGTAATGAAGCAGCATCGAACGTTTTACGAAAAGGTATGGAGTTTCGAGATGACGAGTTTATTCGCTGTCTTCGATGGCCGGGTCGAATCGATTCCTGAGTGGACGTTCCCTCGTCTAGCGTCATTTACGTCGTTTTAAAACATCTCGTAGAAGGATAAACAGATGGGAACGGGAAATGACGACGCCGCGGTCGTGGCGTGTGTTGTTTTGGGAAGAGATGCGCGCGCACGGTAGCCACGTATAACATCACGCGATACGAACATGGCCTCCTTGTTCTACGCGATGGCTGCAAGAGGAAGAGAAACGAGTTTGCTAGTCCCAGCATGTGTACGTAAGAAGAACGCTTACGTATAGGTAAATGCTGGCGTGAGCGGCGAGATGAATACGGGGCGAAAGGACAAAGAACGGAGCACAGGGAGGAGTAAAGTTAGGGGGGGGGGGGAATAGAGACTAAAGACGAGGAACATTGCTCGGGCTTCTGTGGTCGTCGTGTCGTTGCCGTTTCAACAAATGGACGGACGTACGATCATTTTTTACGCTACGCGCAAACTCCCGTCGGCCATCGAAGTTTGTTTTTAATCGGACGACATCGCGTGAACTTGTTGCCCGCTTCTATACATAATATATAATCAGTGAACTGCGTTCACATACTATATTCCTACTCCTCTTTCTATTCTTTTCCCTATCTATGTCGTAAAATGCTATTTACTTATATTACGCATACATTATGTATTACGTAAAGATCGATTGTTTACGTGAGCCGATTCACTGTATTCTGCTTCCTCGACTTTAAAGATGTATTGGCTACACAGTCAATCCCAAAAGTTTATGTACCGTAGAAAAACGCATTTCCTATAATTAAAAATAGTGCAGTTTTCTTCTAATTCCGATATTTAATGAGTTACATATGATTACTTGGCATTTTATTGATGTTGACAAAATCCGACCATCTCAGCGTCGAAACGGCGAACTTTTGGAAAAATTTTTCGTTTTTCCTCAATAACTCCTAAATCCTTGGAGATACGGAAAAATTGCATATGATCTTTCTTGTAGAGGATGACGAGATCTACAATTTCCATGTAAAAATTCTTTGCTAGCATTAATATTTAACGAGTTATTGACGAAAAACTAAAAAACAGTTTTTTGCAAATTACTCGTTAACTACTGACACTAGCGAAAAATTTTTACATGGAAATTGTAGATCTTGTCATCCTCTACAAAAACGATCTGATGCAATTTTTCCGTATGTCCAACGGTTTGGGAGTTATTGACCAAAAACGAAAATTTGGGAGAAATTGAAGGGGTACCCCTTGAAGAAATCTCGGAAAAATCGAAAATTTTTTTTTCTTGTTTATTATTAGCAATGTTCTTCCGACGTCTGATTTCTTTTTACAAAATGCGTTTCTAAAGTGCATAAACCTTTGGGATTGACTGTATAGCCAATACATCCTTAAGCGTGGAATTAATTCATAAGAATATGATTAACCGGACAAAAGCACTTGCACTGTTTAAATATAATGTATTCCCTCTGTCATCTATCTATGTACATCTTAATTTTACGTATGTGCATAGTTGCTGTGTCTTGGTGAATCTTAATGCATCAGAAAAGTTCCAACTTACGCATAGATTTCATAATAATCGACGTTACATCATTCGCGTCATTCAAGCGACAATTCGTATCACGAAATGCATTCGTTTATTAATAGAACGATAGAAATGACTCGATGATCTATCATTAAACCATTGAAATACCAGACTCACCGATGCACGAATCGACGTTAATTGTTTTTATACGAAATTAATAGATTTCTCCTCTGAGTCGAAAATTTAAAGAGCAGCGTTAGGTCGTAGAAAATAACCGAAAACGAAATAATAAACCGGTTTCTGCACGTGGCACGAATCTTTGGATCGTGTCCGGACCAACACCATTCAACTCTCGTAGATACACGCGTGTGCATAATGCCTACGTTATGTTAAAGGCAAATATAAGACGCTATTCTACTTTCTACGCACTCTAATTCGGACTCCCTCTGATTGTAAGCTACACCGGCGTGTTTCATCACCGTAAAATACTAAAAATTGGAAGCACCTGTTTACGAGATGGAAATAAAAAAGAAATGGGGAAGGAGTCGCACGCAGGTGCTAAGCCGATACGGCGCGGCACAAGATAATATACACTATGTATACATACGTAAAATAAACTGACAGCCTTTCCCACACCTTTTTAAACGCCCACACGTTCTGCATGTATCGATGAAATGTATACAAAGGTTGTGTCACATCCCAATCCTAGTTGTAAAACAGCCGGTTGGCTGCGGCTCGATACCAGGAGAAGCTTCATTTACAAGTTTTTATTTACAAGGTTTTCCCTTTCCGAGACCTGTGACAAAATTCAAAAGAGTCTGTTGTAACCGATGCGATTAATATTTGTTATATTCGTGCCAAGTTTCGTATGTACGCGACGATAAAAATGTTGCTCGCTTGCAACGATAGGAAGTCCGATTTCGGAAACGAAATAGCGAGACGACTCGTGAAAACGTACGGTCAATTACGTCAGGCTTTGCACATATGCGAGGCAGACAAAAGCGTAGAATTCATTAATTTTAACGAGCTATTATCGTTTTTTGGTGAGTGTACATGCCAGGTAAATGCGTATCGTGAAACCTACAGTGACTCATCCGATTGTCGACTCACTCGATCTCTACTCGTTCTGCAGAATCGTAAAATTGCATATTCGTAATAACTGTGTAACTATTCGATCTTTGATCCAAAAGAATGAATAGGACGGACGATTCTTTTCTTTTACGTGCTTCAAACGATGGACGAACGTCGTCAAAACAGAAAGAAAGGACGACAACGACGGAGTCAGCTGAATTCGTGATAATTAAAGAAGATGTGGCACGAGACGCGGGCGCGGGCGCGTTATGTAATTCGTCGGCTCGAGCCGGTTTGCCGACATTGCACGTTTCTCGAATACTTTTATTATATTCTTTTGAAGTTATCGGACGACCATTGGATAAAGGGTATTTTTAACGCGCTTGAAACTCTAGAGAGCACAATATCGATAGATATATCTGATAGATTAGGAGCAAATCTAAGACGAGACGCAATATTTTTTAGAAGACATTGTTTGCTTGTTAGATCAATTGTCGAAGTTGGTATACGTATTACACGTACATCTGCCGGTAGGTATGGGGTGATAAAACGGGAGAACGATGAAGAGAGCGTCGTTCGGGTATGAATTCACGCAACACGTGTATTCACGGTTCAAGGCTAAATAATGGGACACGCAAAAGTTTCTCCTTATCCAAGGTCTTCCGCATAACACTCGTGTTTACGTTTTGCTACTTTTTAAGAGACTCTAGATTACGCAAAAAGAATACCATCGATAACGAAGAGTCACAAGACTAATTTTTTATCAAAATAGATCTTTATCAATCGCGATAGTTTTGCCTGTTCAATTTTGCAAACTTTGCTGATACAGCGTACAGCGTTGATAAGCTAGATTGATATCGTGTACATCACAAAGAATTCGACGTAAATAAATGCACGTGGATCTCCTTTTCAGTATATCCAAAATTTGTCATGCGATAGTGAAAGCATAAATTCAGGATAATCGCACCTTCGTTATTGCCCGTTAACGGCGCTTCTATTACCGGTAATAGAGTACACAGCACCTTTTCCCGGTGTCTTTTAAAGATTTATGGCCCGAGGTTTAAGCCTAAACCTAAACCCTAGAGTTTTACGATGAGCCTGCAAACCGCACGTGGCCTCAGACGATGACCACGTCATTGTTTATCAAAGGACTCAACGAGCAAGTAAATACATTATAAAAGTGAGGATACTGACCGGCATCTGGCCATCAACTGATTTTTGGAAGGGCGCCTATTCTTACTACAGCATTTATTATGCAATCGCTTTCCCTTCTCGACTTAGTGCTTTTGTATGTAACATTGGCCCACTCATCTCGTTCACCCTACGCGTGAAAAACATTCCAATAGAAAATAGTAAATACTTATGTTCGAGTGAGAGCGATAAGATTTTCTAATTATAAGAAGATCAGCTATCGATACCCGTGCTACGCGATTAGGAACCGGTTAAACCGGCGACGAAAATACATTTTTCATCTTTCTTCAATTAAAACCTCCAGACAACTCGGATTACACAAATCTAGTATACCCATCTAAGTCTACGGAAGCCAGCAGTCTCGGCGCAACAGCCAAGTCGTTGTTCATTTACGAGGGAACGCGCATTTGCATAGTTATTTATTTCGAGACGCGGTTTCGTCGCCTTTCCGACTGCTATCGCGAATAAACAAACGAACTGCGCAAACGATAGAAGTAGAAGGTCTCGCATAGCATTCGCGTGACCTGTGCTTGTGTGCGTTGCACGCGGTAAAATATGTCAACTAAACAAAACGATCTAAATCGAAACAGCATGTTAGCTCGAAACATGTTCGAGAACACGGCATGGCAAGTGTAAAAAACTACAATATATACTGATCAACAAGTTCGTTAAACAACAATCTTTACTTCCAAGCGCAGCAAAGGGCGATTTTAACGCGTCGAGAGCGGACTAGAACTCTTTATGCCCAGGTAAACACTTTCTTATCTACGCATTAGATAATACATATTATGTACCCGGTAGGATACTTTATGCGCTGTAGCTGGAGATATACGTTTATGAACATAGGCGTGTATTGATGTTTACGAAAAACGAACGTGCCGATCCATCAGGCCACTGTTCCTGCTCTGAAGATATCGTACTCGAAATTCTACGTTTCTGTTTGCTCGGTTTCTATATTTCCGATAAACAAGCTGCACGCGCGAAGCGAGATACGTACGAATGGTCAAAAAGTCATAGCTGACGTAAGAAAATTGTATCTTCTCTAAAAGACCCACGATCTTTAGTCGCGTAATTAACGAATCAATCGCTTAATGTACGTACATATGTACGTAGATAAATAACACGCGGTATCGTTAGTCCGAAATTACCCAAATACACCGAAATTCGCATAGTCTCGAGTTAAGGATGGGAACAACCTTGAGACTTGGCCGATGCATTTCCATAATCTTACCTCAGCCAAGCCCAGATGACGAGCATGAAGAAATTTATCACGTATTTTCTTTTCCTTTCTTTTTTTACTTCTCCGATACGAGACGAGGCAATTCTATTGCATCACTTGCAAAGACAGATACATGTGCCTTTGCACATACCGTGCGATCGATATGCATGTTACTTAAACGCGCAGTAATTTATAGACGCTCAATGATCGTTGATCATTTTTTTATCGCACGTACCGTGTACTATGTCCTGGGAAAATCATCTCCGTGCCGGGAATACGCGCCGCAAGGATTTATGCTATCCCGGCTCCTCCGCAGCGTCGTGCACTGGTTCGCAGCTATCATCCTTCCTTTCTCCTACATATGTTATTCCTACGATCGTGCCATGCAACTCGCGAGTCTTCTGCATCAGCAGCGACCTATACGATCTTCGCCTGATTCCAAGACAGTCGCATCCATATGTAGACAGCGTTCGTGTATTTTTGCCTATGCCGATATTAAAAAACCAAAATAGAGATATGAAACCAAGTAGAGATATGAAAATCGCGACGGATTTTGAATATGCTTAAAATTAATTACGACTGCTTTATCTCCCTCTGTCGAATGGAACAAGTTTATGCACCGCGTGTATACAGCTACAGCATGCATTCGGCTAATTGGCATAACGATTTAATTATCGTCGAAACCGTTTTAGTGACGGTTGCCAATAGAATCAGCAAGGCTCTGACCATTCGCAATATTTCCTTGGTTGCGCACGGTCCTCCTCGCTCTTCTTCGCCCCTCGTTCTTCTATAATCTGCGCGTTATGTAGCTATAGCATCTACCCAGTCTAGCCTCCTGAGAATAACTGCGCGTAACGCGCGATTAACTACATGTATATGTATAGTTCTCGCTCGATGCACATGCGTTTGTCTTTATCTACATAATACATGCACATGTCTACGATACTATAGAATGTCTGCCTACGTAATCTGCTTGTGTACGCTACGTACAGCGAGGATATCAACTCTTTAAGGAGATAAAGATGATAACAGTGATCATATTTTTGCGGCATCTTCATAAGGGATTAGACACATGGAAGACTTCATCGGTGTCAGGACATTCGGCACAAGAACTACCGAAACTGTAAAATTATGAAATAATTCTTCTCGCTTCGTCGACCTTTATTCTGCTATCCAGAAGTTTCACGACCCCTCCGCGATTGACATGAGTTAAACTTGACGACCTCGCGCGGTGATATGTAGCTTGCATGTGTATAGATGCCAACCAGCATGCCACTAATCACGTACGCTTTATCGATCACTGTTTATGCGTCTTTTACACATTTAACTATTTTAGTAGTAAAAAGAGAAATCTATTAGCTGATTCCTACCGTTACAGCATATGATGATTCATAATGATTCTTCTGTACTTGTATTAATTCTTGTGATCACTTAGCTTCCGTTTGAGATCATTTCTCAGTGTTTCAATTCACTTTCACTTTCGTAACAAATCCTTTTTCAATCAAAGATTGAACAAATAACAATGATAAAAACGAAACTGCCACTTGTGGCTTGTACGTATACGAAATGTTCGATACGTGTCATGTGTTTACCGGCGCAAATATCTATCTACGCTATTCAATTTATATTGTAAAAGTTTACTGATTGAATACACGGATAAATCTGTGTACGCGCCTAATTGTCAACCTCTCCTTAAGCGTTCTACGAGCTGTACGTGGATTATTATGCATGCAATCACGTAACCGAAGCTGATTCTTAGCGAGAAATGCAAAACAAGATTGCCGGGAAGCAATGGAAAAAGTGTTTCGGGCATTTTTCGGTTCGACGCTATGCGTACGTGCCGGGATGCAGGTATTCAACCCTGACCGACTTTTGTGCCTTCGACCGGCACCCGGCACGCCTCGTAGTCTGATATGTATACATATATGTACTGATCTATGTTGGTACTCTTATGTAAAACTACTCATTTAGAATGTGTTCGTTTCAAACGAAAATAAAATAGAACTGTAGAATACAAAAAATGAATACCTTCGCGAATATCTTGTGTCCGCTATTTTTGTAATTGTACGTTACGTAAAAAAATTGCAAATAGACCTGATCTTGACACACTGTCGCCACCTTGTATTGAAATGGCGATGGCAAGGTGGCGCCACTTTTCAAGCAACTCGGGTCTATCCCTTCCCCAAAGATCTCCGGCGACTCCGACCACGTGGGCTGTAAGATGGATGATATACAAAATAGAACATAACCGTAGGAACGTATTTTTGAATGTAACAGAAACAGGTGTTAATTCTGTAATCTGGACTCTAAAATAATTTTAATATAAAGAGAACCGAATGCATGTTATTCATGAAACATCGTTTCCAATAAAATGAGCTTCAACAAAGTGAAAGAGGTTATCGAGGAAGGAGACGTGGTAGTTTTATATTTAGGTCCTAGCAATATGCATTCGATAGAAATAAAACAAAAGATCCTTAATAAAAAGGGTCAAATGGTTGATAATATTTTCCAAACAATATATGGAGCATTAAAAGTATTTTCTCTGGTGGGAGAAAAGTATGGCACTAAAATACAATTGTCTCGTGGTTGGGGATACGTGTTGCAACCAACACCAGAACTCTGGACATTGACCGTGCCTCATAGGACACAGATTATTTACAGTCCTGACATTAGTTTGATTATATACTTGATGGATATATCACCAAGCAGCATAATAATTGAAACAGGTTCAGACTTACAGAACGGATTACATGTTCCTGTTGTATTACATAGTCTTCATTTTAGCATTTTATTGATTCAGGGACTGGAAGTGGATCCCTGTCTCATGCATTTATCCGTGCGGTTCGTCCTCATGGTCATCTGTACACATTTGATTTTCACGAGCAACGCGTGAGCGTTGCGAGAGCAGAATTCAAAAGACACGGACTCAGTGATTTTGTTACTTTGAATCATAGAGACGTTTGCATCGAAGGTTTTGGAGAAGAATTAGAGAACAAAGTAGACGCAATCTTTTTAGATCTTCCACATCCATGGTTAGCAATAGATCATGCGTTATCTACTTTCAAGAAATCAGGTACAACTTTAATTTACATCCTCCGAGTTTTGTATCTTGTACGATATTTCTTAAAAAGATTATTTCAGGTGGGAAACTTTGCTCCTTTTCTCCTTGCATCGAACAAGTTCAACGTACTTGTGCGAAATTGATATCAAAAGGATTTATTGAGTTGAATACATATGAATGTTTGCAAAGAGAAGTAAACGTACAGTACAGAAATCTTCCTATATTGGATTTGGCATGCCTAAAACATGAGGTGCGTATAACAGTTAATCATTGTAAAAAAATTAGAAAATGGCACTTAAAATTTTCTAAAATAACATTAAAGCTTGGGAATACTAATATAAATCGTTTCCAGCATGTGGCGAAGGATATGGCACAACAAACTGAAACCAAGAAACAAGAGCAAATGAAGCTGCTCACGGTGACCCATGCCCGTTCTTTACCTGGTCATACAGGATTCATTACGATCGCTACATTGCCACCTTTTTATGCGAGAAAGTTTAAAATAGATCTAAGTTCAAAAGGCTGAAGAGATTTAAAGAACATCATAAAATATTTGTTCACAATATCGCGGTAGAATAGAATTTCCACAATAGTTTCATTGAACGTCTCGAGCTCTTGTATATAATAGTCTTATCGCTACCGTCGAGTATTTTATGTCTCTACTTTGTTCGGATTCCAAGACAGGTAATCGACTCGCGTGGCGGCTTGGTATTCTTGTACCAAATATTCGACGACCTGCCTGGAGCCATCCAACTCGTCTAAGTTCTCCTCGAACATTTTCTCTTTACGAAATTGCTCCAAGAACGCTTCGCGTTTCCGTAATTTATCAAATTGTTGTAAGGCACGATCAAATAACTGTAACGTATGTACGAATGTATAAATTTAGTGACATTTTTGTATATAAATAGAATAAATCTTTTTACGACATACCGATGATATGTTAGTGTGATTGGCTAACATCAAGCCAGACACCCGATGTGTACTTTGAATGTAAGGCGATTTCCTCGAAAGGGCTACTTGTATGCTGGCAGGCCCCCAAGGTATAAATTGTGCGAGTTTTCTTTCCCTAATCCTTTGCAAGGACTTATGAACTTGTGTAGGGTCTACCTCACCCTGAAACGTTATTCACGACATTATGATTTTGTTTTAAACCTTTCCGAAGCTCCATGTTATCTTATAAGTTACTTGAATGATGTTTAAAATGGATATGTAGCAATGAGATGCATTCCTGTCTAATGCCGTAGAGACCATCATATTCTTCGGTTGCAGTAAACGCCTCATCACATCTAACACAGAAGTTTTCCTTACAGAAGTTCCCTGTATTAATAACAAGAACCTATTTAATTATATTAACGATTTTAATTATTATCTACGTGTATTCCACGTGTTTAAAATGAAATACTCGCTTCTTGATCTGTAGTGAGGGGAGTGTAACCAGTCATAAGGAAATGTAACCGCGGTGTTGGAATCAATGGTGCGATCAAACCTACTAAGTCGTTATTCATATAAGAAGGATACCTAATAAATTAATAAAAGTTATATCAATCAATTAAATCCTTACTCTCTTAATTATAAAATAAATATTTACCGAAGAGTAGTCGTACTGACAGACATTATTGTAGATACAAGTTTATTAATCTGAGTGAAACTAGGATTCTGAATGTGAAGTCTGTCCGACGCTATTCTGTTAAGTGCTGTATTATCCAGTACAACAACACAATCAGCGCATTGCGTCAATCTTTTCAAAGTTAACAACGAGTTATATGGCTGTACCACTACATCGCTGAAAAATTGATTTTTTAAAATTGCCATTGATAATCGTTTTAACTCATTACCATGACACGTACCTTATTTCATCCTGATTTGGAAAAACACTGTATGTCTCAAGCAACTTCTTGGGGAACCTGTCTGCCAAAGACTCGAGCATAAATGAACCCATACCTGAACCTGTACCACCAGCTATAGAATGGCACAACACAAATCCCTGCAGAATAGAAATCATGCAATAATTAATTACAAATGCCCTCAAGTAAAATTAAGAAGTATGTACCTCTAAACTATCGCTTCCATCTGCCTCTCTGTCTAAAATATCAAAAATTTCTTCTTGAAGTTTCTCTCCTTGATGATAGCCGGATGCCCAATTATTTCCAGCACCACCTCCGTGTTTCGATAAGTAAATATTCTCTGGATTGTATAACTTGTAAAAAGCAATGGTTACATATAAAGCAATGACTTATAACATTTACTGCAATGTAATTACCTTTGAATATGGAGAGTTCATAATAGTATGAATTACTCTCGGTTCTAGGTCTAATAATACTGCTCTTGGTATATAATGTTCATCATCGGACTGATAAAAAAATACATCTTTTCTGTCTGTTCCTTCTGTCGCATAATCTTCTAAAATACCTTCTGGACTGATACCATGCTCAGCGCACAACTTCTTCCAGAACTCGAATCCAACTAAAAACAATAGATTTCAATAGATTATAACTGAACTTTAAATTAATTTTCACTGTCTACAAATTGGTTATAGAAGTGACAGAATAACTTCTTTCATTGAAACATAAATTACGTACTTTGATTACCGCATTGGCCAAGCTGCAAAGTTATCATTTCACAAGGCATCTTCAGTTTTTTTATTTTATCCTTAATCAGAAACGGATATTCAATTTATCTACAACTATAATTGCTACGATTGCTCGATACGATTGCTACTTCACGATTTATTTCTGTTACAGTTTATGAAAGATATACGAATGGCACGAATGTTCGTATGTACACAAAGAACAAGGACAATCGTTTCGATGGGCTCACGCGGTGTCTCACGTTATACAGTTGCTTGAAATCTCGATGAAATTAACAATGTCAATAAAAGTTTTGCGAATACTCAATTTCAGTTGCAATTCAATCAACCAGAATAAGATTCATGAAGATAATTTCAAACACTTTGAACAGCATCACTGCTTCGAGTAAACGGTGGAAAGGGATGGATTCATTTATAAATCGTACAGACGCGTAATACCGTTTTGTTATGAAGATTTTTACATGAAAATTGCTATTCCGAAGGGTACATTTACATGATATATCTAACGGAAGGATCTGTAACACCTGTCATTTAAATTTTATGCAATACCGCTGCAATTTCGTGTTTTGTACATTGCATGTGCACGTGTGTGTGTATATGCGACTCACATATCACATAAGCGTAGGAATACGTGTAGTTTGTGTATCTAACCCTGCTTTCTGTCACGTTTGCAGTATTTTTAACGCTCCTACTCCTATCCTATCAAGCCCTCTCTGTCAGATAAAGATTAAACTTATATTGACATTGATTCTACGTATTTTTACGTAAAACAACGTATAACGAGATTCAGGTGTATCACTGTGTCATTATTGTTTAATACAATTATTTACATTGTCATACTGGATATGCTATAACAGCAGTAATTGAATAGCAACCGGCTGTCAAAGGTTCTAATCAAGGTAATTGATAATTTTACAAAGTAATAGCTTTATCAACATTGAATAACTCAAAGAAACATTGTTCTAATAACAATACAGATGTCTGGAAACAAGTGCCGGAATTGTGGGTCCACTGATATTGAGACAGACCCAGCTAGAGGAGATGCTGTCTGTACAGAATGTGGTGTTGTATTGGAGGATCAACTTATTGTTAGCGAAACAGCTTTCAAAGAATCACCATCTGGGAATATGATGGTGCTTGGTCAGTTTGTTGCTAATGACAGTACAGGAGGTGCTACAGGATTTGGAGCAAGTATGCATGAACAGCATAAGAAAGTACACTGTTGTATAGGTACTCCTACTTTAATATCTGTTCGCAGCTTATCATGTTAATGGAAAAGAATCAAGGGGAATAACATTGCAAAATGCGAGGAAGGGAATAACTCAATTGTGTGTCCAGTTGCAGTAAGTAATTCGTTGCATTCCTATACTATGCCTCGCAAGTTTTTAACATGTATCTTATCTGTTTATAAGGTTGAATCAACATTGCATCGACACATCGATGAATTTTTATAAAATGGCATTGAATCGTCAATTAACTCGCGGGAGGAAGCAGGCGCATAATCATGCGGCCTGCGTTTATATCACGTGTCGTACGGAAGGCACTGCACGTATCCTTTACATACTCACGAACTTGACATTTTTTTTATACGCGAGATCTCTTCAAATTTTATTTAATTATTATTTACTTAACTAATTATATAGATATGCTCATCGACATCAGTGATGTTCTACAAATTTGTGTTCACGAGTTGGGACGCACGTATCTGAGGTTCACACAAGCTCTTTGCATCAACATTCCTTCAGTAGGTAAGCGCCTTGCACGTTTTACATTCGCATGACATAAAATAAATTAGCTGATTCACGTGGATCTAATTTCTTCTTACGAATTAATATGTTCGGTTGATAATAATCGTATTTACCTGTTTTACTTCGTTTTATTCNAATACGTATTATGAACGATTCTAATAGTAGCATAGTTCGCTTGTATTTCAAATACTTTTTAATATTGAACGTAACATTTGTACCTCCAGTTTTTACTAAAATATTCTCATATATTACTAACAATTAAGAAAGTTGTACAGAGATACATCTGATTTTATTGCTTATACGGAGATTCAGTTTTCGTATTTATACGCTTACGATATTAAAGTAACTGTCGTTGAATGATATTAGGTTCTAAATCTCTTATTTGTTAGTAATAAAACAATATGAATTGAAATTCAAGGTCGTACATAATACATCAATATTTTTTGATAAAGAATATACGATTAACATTCAACTTTTTACATGCCAATTTTAAATTAATTGTAAAGATGCTCACACTCATTTGTTGTTCTTTTTTCTGTTGGCACCAGCCCAACGTACTAGTAGTAGGAAGGCATTATTTTGTACATTTTATTATTACTGGTATTACAATCCATTGTACTTTTTTTTAAGTGGTAGTGACTATCTTGTAATGTAAACTTTGGCGCCAGATCCTATGGCATTAGTGGATATAATATATTTATTATCAAAGAAAAGAGAAGGAGTAGCTACACCTAACTGTTATATGTATAATTTTTCTCCGAGCTACACTAGAACATCATCGTTGCCTCTACTTTTTTTACATGAGTTATAATAAACTATAAAATTATATAAACATGATTGAAGTGGCATAGCATGTTTATATGAAGTATAAGTATGATTGCCTTAAGAGTCTATATTTAAATGTTTCATCTAATAATTTAGTTATTTAGTTTATGGTTGCACATAATAGTTGTAAAAGGAGTAAAATGATTCTCTTTTCATTTTAATACAAGAAAGAAAATTAAGTCGTATCTAAAAAAAAAAAAAATGATTTGCACAGGCAGTTTCAATCGTAATACCATTCTAAGATTGCTTATGATTCTTTTCATGTTCTAACATATGCAACATGTGAATCCAATATTAAATCAATATTACATACATTAGTGAACAAAAATTGTGATTTATAGCAGATGGTTCACCTGACACGAACTGAAGATGACCTGAGCATGGTCTGAATATTTCCAAAATCAATCGGCCTTCGTTCGTTCTTAACAGTAATTTGGAAGGTGGTAAATCCTTTCAAATGTCGCTTATTAACTTTCTCAATTGTTTCCTATTAATTTAAGGATCATCTTTACATTTCTGTCTTTTTCGTCGTTTAACAAGTATTTTTATATATCTAGATTGAAATATATTTACAACTAATGTTTCAATGATTAATATCATGTAAGAAAGTTTCGTGAAAGTTTTTCAAAGTAAACAGAACGATAACGTTTCGAATGTACTAAGAACGGTAATAGGCACACTCTTTGTTTAAAAGTAATATCTTGAAGTTTTATTCAAATATTAGTATATAAAAAACAAGCATTGGTTTGTTGCGTCAACTTCGATTTACGAAAATGATTTATCACAAGCCTTTGGATTAAAGCAAAATAAAATACATTCTCCTATTTAACAAATAATGAACGAACGAATGAGATTAAAACTGAATAAGAAACAAGAGAGCGAGAGGAGATTCAATATTACTTTTTTGTACGAATTATTCATTACGATTCTATATAAAATTTAAGAGATATAAATATTCGATACATTCAAGAGTGCGTCTATTGCGCAACATTTTTCATCTACTTAAAAAATAGTACATAACATGATGATCATACAAAACCTTGAAAGATCTCAAGGAACATTATTACATTTCGAGAGCCACCAGTTAAACCATTATCTCGGCGGTAAATTTCCGTCAGTCATCTACTGGCGGGCCGTAGAATATCAGTTCAGGTATTTGCCCTCCCTGTACACCGGTCCCATTCGTACTTTCCGAACTGCATTGAAATTGGAAGTTTACATTACCCACAGTTATCTCTGACATCCCTTCTTGGCCGAAGTAACTCAATTCGCCGCCGTCTAATATAACACTAGCCGTGTAAAAGCATTCTGGTTCGATTTGAATCGGGTTCTCGAAGTATACGTGAAATGTACTGCTAGAACCGTCCGAGAAGAATTTCGTGCTGTTCTCGGATAACACGCATCCCAATCTTTTAAGTTCGATTCGAACATTATAGTCTGCAGCACCGGACGAGCTTCCATAGAGACCAAAACCAACTACAAAAATTCTCTTATCAACGCTGAATTGAATCGAGTCGCATCTGCCTCTGTAACGCCACTGGTTTGATCTGTACGCGCACGATTGAAACCTGTGACAGACCTGAAAAGGAAGCGTAGAAACATTAACTCTCCGTACGCAGACTGTTACGAAGCGGAGCGTGTATTCTATATTGAAACTGAATAAAAGGATGCGCTCGTTTTGTAGTACTTACTTGAGTTTTTAAACCTTGCCGAGGTTTAATAGGAAAGCAAAGTTGTGGCTTATTGCTAGCAGTGAAATGTAAAAAAACGTCGATCGTTTCTTGCTGCGTTAAGATTCCGGTTTGGGCAGCACTATTGGCGAATTCTTCCAGATTCATAGCAGGAAGTCTAATTAAATACAAAGCAGATCCTAAAATGAAAAAAAAACCGCTAGCGATACGCATTTGAAATTTCTTGATGAATACTCACCTAATAATTGTCTTTGATTTGCTGCCGTGGGTTCTAGTTCTTGCCTGATACATTCCGCAGTAGCCCATCTTAAAGCAGCGTCCCATATGTGTATTTCTTTACAATTTAATGTTTCTCGGGAAAGCACTGATTCGAGTGTATGAATATCAATATCCACGAAACCGTCTGATCTCAATGCCATTTCTGCCTGCGTTACATTCCATTCAGATACAAAATGATTAGCAAACAAGAATTTAATTACTTTCTCTTTGATATATCATGAAAGTAGAAACAAATTATTATGAGGAAACTAGTCTTTGAACCATTTAATTTGATACCATAATATAATTTATTACAATGCAAGTTTTTATGATTACCAATCAGTGTGATGTAGTACATAACTTGGTAGAAAAAAACGTACGCGTTACACTGTATCATTTTTACGTTATAAAATTGCTTATTAGTCGTTTTTAATCTTATTTTAGGTGTGTACGAGATTAATAAAACTTTCGTCACTCTGTCTTCTAAATAATTCGATTAAAAAACTATAAATTCTATATAAAATTTAAGAGATATAAATATTCGATACATTCAAGAGTGCGTCTATTGCGCAACATTTTTCATCTACTTAAAAAATAGTACATAACATGATGATCATACAAAACCTTGAAAGATCTCAAGGAACATTATTACATTTCGAGAGCCACCAGTTAAACCATTATCTCGGCGGTAAATTTCCGTCAGTCATCTACTGGCGGGCCGTAGAATATCAGTTCAGGTATTTGCCCTCCCTGTACACCGGTCCCATTCGTACTTTCCGAACTGCATTGAAATTGGAAGTTTACATTACCCACAGTTATCTCTGACATCCCTTCTTGGCCGAAGTAACTCAATTCGCCGCCGTCTAATATAACACTAGCCGTGTAAAAGCATTCTGGTTCGATTTGAATCGGGTTCTCGAAGTATACGTGAAATGTACTGCTAGAACCGTCCGAGAAGAATTTCGTGCTGTTCTCGGATAACACGCATCCCAATCTTTTAAGTTCGATTCGAACATTATAGTCTGCAGCACCGGACGAGCTTCCATAGAGACCAAAACCAACTACAAAAATTCTCTTATCAACGCTGAATTGAATCGAGTCGCATCTGCCTCTGTAACGCCACTGGTTTGATCTGTACGCGCACGATTGAAACCTGTGACAGACCTGAAAAGGAAGCGTAGAAACATTAACTCTCCGTACGCAGACTGTTACGAAGCGGAGCGTGTATTCTATATTGAAACTGAATAAAAGGATGCGCTCGTTTTGTAGTACTTACTTGAGTTTTTAAACCTTGCCGAGGTTTAATAGGAAAGCAAAGTTGTGGCTTATTGCTAGCAGTGAAATGTAAAAAAACGTCGATCGTTTCTTGCTGCGTTAAGATTCCGGTTTGGGCAGCACTATTGGCGAATTCTTCCAGATTCATAGCAGGAAGTCTAATTAAATACAAAGCAGATCCTAAAATGAAAAAAAAACCGCTAGCGATACGCATTTGAAATTTCTTGATGAATACTCACCTAATAATTGTCTTTGATTTGCTGCCGTGGGTTCTAGTTCTTGCCTGATACATTCCGCAGTAGCCCATCTTAAAGCAGCGTCCCATATGTGTATTTCTTTACAATTTAATGTTTCTCGGGAAAGCACTGATTCGAGTGTATGAATATCAATATCCACGAAACCGTCTGATCTCAATGCCATTTCTGCCTGCGTTACATTCCATTCAGATACAAAATGATTAGCAAACAAGAATTTAATTACTTTCTCTTTGATATATCATGAAAGTAGAAACAAATTATTATGAGGAAACTAGTCTTTGAACCATTTAATTTGATACCATAATATAATTTATTACAATGCAAGTTTTTATGATTACCAATCAGTGTGATGTAGTACATAACTTGGTAGAAAAAAACGTACGCGTTACACTGTATCATTTTTACGTTATAAAATTGCTTATTAGTCGTTTTTAATCTTATTTTAGGTGTGTACGAGATTAATAAAACTTTCGTCACTCTGTCTTCTAAATAATTCGATTAAAAAACTATAATAAGCAATTATATCTTGAATATTTTAATATACAGAATAAATATCGTATATGGTTTAAGTGATTACTGGGCTAACGTTGCATGTTATTCTAGAAAACTCATTATAATCGTCTCTGTCCTGCTCGAATTCCTCTATGAAATTATCCTCGTAAGTTACATTCTGCGTGATCTCGATTTCTAACTTATTATCTACGAAATAAGGTTCGCTTCGCGTTCGAAACAGCGACAATCGTTTGTTATTAAATTTCGAGCAGCAATTATTTTCGGACAAACTGAAACAATGCGACACTACCGAGAGCCTGTTTCTTATGTTCCCGTAACTACTCGTAGCCTTCTGAATAAACCGTTGCTCGCAGTCTTTCGATTTGTTATTCAAACAATACGAGGAGCTCGATTTACTCTTTAGGGTCACATTCAAATTATCACATATGGTAAGGGACTTCAACATTCCTTTGTTTAAACTTACTTGAGCATCTATAACTTCCCAGCAACGTTGCATAAGATCTGGTTCTTCAAACAAACGTGACTGGCTTAAAAGTAAACATGCATTCTTTGCCGTTAAACTTGTCTCTAAATAATTAACACAGGCCCTTGCTAGATGAGGGACTATATATTTTTTAGCAACGTAAAGCGTTGCTAAGACAGTGTCTGCTTCTAATTGTACTTCGTCGCAATACATGTACCTGAGGAAGAGAGTAACGACATAAGTAGAGTACAGGTGAAATTGAATAACTTTCGAACAGATCAAACGTTTACCTCAATAGAGCGAGGAAAGCAGCTGGCTCTACGTCTGGTACTTCTATGTCTCTTTTATTCTCAGCTAATCCACCGTAAAACATAGCATAAAATACAGAACTACCAGTTGCTAAAACGTACTTGTGTGCTGGTATCGTTTGTGTGTGACCTATGCACATTCAATGTATCAGTAGATTTCATTTTGGAATTATCAAGCTATTTCATGATCATTTACCTGGACTGCCAACAATAAATATAATATCGGCCATTAAGTGATTGTTGAACATGGCAGCATTTCGTTCGCGAACCGTGGGTTTTGTTGCTTGCCAATTAGGATCCTGAGTACAGTCTTCGGGCGACGACAGATTCAGTTGTGTTATGGGAGATGATAAGGAAGATAGAGGCGATGCAGGTGCACTAAGTGGCTGATTTATCATTCCTTCACGTTGCAACACGATAGAAGAAGATAATGGGCTTACAGTGGGTGGTGAATCTGATACAGGAATTGATTGATGGACAGGAAGCGATTCCGCTAAAACATTTATAAAATCACCATTTCAGTCAAATTTTATTCCTCCTTCATTCTTTACATTTACATCGATGATTATATCGTTCCAGATAAGGCAAATCACTTGTCTTATTCTATAAAAACAGTCGAACAGTCTATGAAACGACGTAAGAAATGCATAATTTTCATTGTAAATCATGTATTTTGTTAATAAATATGTCGATATTAGTGGAGGTTATAAGAGACAGTGTGAAACTTCTAAAATGGATTCTTTTGCAGTTAATCAAACTTCCTGCTTCGGTGCATTCATTATATATTTTATTTATCGTCGCTGCGAGGTGTGGTATTGTGTTATCACCCTTTAGCGACGTTTGAATACGAGTAAACTTATACCAAGCTCATCAAATCTTTACCGTTAGTATACATCATTCCACAGCTTTTTTTATTGCTTCCAAACAAATACGTTGTTTTTATTCTGATATTGTAAATAGTTGCTATCACTTCAGCATCAACGGCCCCCACTCATTTTAAAGTATCACAAGTGCACAGTGCACAATAAATATACACTTACACACATGCGAGCCTCGACACATATGTGTAATGCATCAACGACAAAACGCATATACTGTAAGACTTACTTCTATAGTGTAAGACTTCGAATGCGACTAAGCTCGGTTTATTCCGGTTTTAATCGTATTATTTCGTGAAAGTTTTGTACACACGTGATGCGTACGTTAAATTAAATAAATTTACGTGCACATGATTATCTTGGAAATGTCTCTGGTATACTTTCAAACTTCGTTTATTTAGAATTAATCCACTTGTTCTTACGTCGGAAAAACCGTAGGAATTTTTATTCATTCGTTTGTAATGCAATTCGAAATCGAATATTTGCCAGAATTAAAGTATTTGTAAAATGGAAAGATCAGAGAATCCTGCAATTTTTAGAAACGTATCATGGAATTCGAGAATTATGCATATATTGTGCTCGCATGGAATTCGTTTAATTACATCAATTTCTTTATCATTCATTGATTTATAAAATTCGCAGTTCTGTGCAATAATGCTTATAATCATGATCAAATTGATTAAACGGATTTGCAGTTTCAACCGGAGAGTTAAACTGTCAAACTACAGCGCATAGTTTCATGTGCCGAAGCGGAAATAAACATTATGAATAAATTACTTAACGTCGGCAGAACCTAACGTTAGGCAGAAGCCGATCGACATTTTTCATTTATTCCCCTTTGTTCAATATATTCTGTTCACCATTCGACGAACATTATTTAATATGCATATTAATGTTTATTTATATCTCTGGGTACTTATTCTCACCGTTTAGCAACCATGGAAGAGTTTGCTTGACTGTGACGTTGTCCTGGAACCGCTTCATCGGCTTCGTTGATATTTTCGAGTAAAGATTCGACATCGCCATTTTCACCCTTCTAAATTTGATCACTGTACTTTTCTTAAAACTCGCGACACGGAACGATTTTGGATTTCAGTTACATGGGCGCCATGTCAGACGGGCGCTGGTTAGATAGTCCCGCACGTCGTCGGTCGATAGTCAACTTAGGGCACGCGCGTCCATGTATCGGGTGTTTCTCCAAAACCGTACACCCCGATTTGCGCAGTATTAACGCGTGCAAATTGAATGGTTCGCGGCAAGCGCTCTTCCTCCGAAAAGCAAGTCTGAATCATGTTCAAGAATTTGTTTAATTATCTACATTTCATGAATCCAATAATGCATCCTTTGACAAAACAAGTATGATCAACCCTCCCCAACTGTTTTGAATTTCGAAGATATCTCCCGTGGATTAAAAGGATTAATTGGTATGAACATTGTTATCTGGTTGCAGATCCGTGTTTATATATCATGAGGTTTGCTAATAAACTCGAGTTCGGTGATAAAACTCATGAAGTCTCGATGACGGCTCTACGAGTGGTTCAAAGGATGAAGAGGGATAGTATACATAGCGGGCGCAGGCCATCGGGATTGTGCGGCGCCGGTATGAAATTTTTATTATATTTAGCACACCAACTGAATTTATTTTAATTCAATCAACTTTTCTTTCTCATTATAGCATTATTAATGGCAGCCCGTCTGCATGAATTCAACAGATCACCCGCTGACATAATAAAAATCGTGAAAGTACACGAATCCACGTTACGCAAGAGGTAATCGGATTTGATTCTGGAATAAACTTAATATTTGTCAACTGTGAAACTTGAAACTTTTATAGGCTCATAGAATTCGGTGATACACCGTCGAGTGCGTTAACTCTCGAGGAATTTATGACGGTCGATTTAGAAGAAGAGCAAGATCCTCCTGCTTTTAAGGCCGCGAGAAAGAAGGATAAGGAACGATTGCAGAAGGTATAAGAATTTATTTTACTTCGATTTGGGGAATATTCATTTTACGTATGTTTCAGGTAGAAAATATAGATTTGCAAATAAATGAATTGCAAGCCGCAATTGATAAGCAGTTGGATGAGCATAGAATAGGAAAAACAAGGAAAAAGAAAGATGGTAAGATTGTGATGCATTATGTTTAATTGATCGTTTGTAATGGGAAGTACCAATTTCCAGCTGTTTCCATAGAACAGGTCGATACCGAGAAATTTGTGAGGGAAAGTGAATTAGATGTAATTAAGAATTATGTCGCAGACGATGTAGACGATCCTGACAGCGGAATTCAGGATTGCGATACGAATAACTCGAATAATCGATTAATTACTGGATTAGGTAGCTGTTCAATTTTATATTATCACGATACTGTGACAGATTATAAAATACATAATTGTTTAAAGGCCCAAATTTTGCTTCCATGGGATTAATGTCGATGAGAGATCGGGAGAATGAAACTAAAGATAACACATGTGCATTTGAGAATGTAAGTAGAATTTTTAGAACACAATTATGTTTTCTGTTTATTAATGTATTCTGGATTAGGTTTCCGGGGAGATCGACTTGGCTGACTTAGATGACGAAGAGTTGGACAGTTATATCATGTCGGACAAAGAAGCGAACTACAAGCATAATATGTGGACTAAAGTAAATGCTGAGTATTTGATTCAGCAGAAGGAAAAGGAAGAAAAACGGCAGAAAGAGAAAGAAGAAGGTAAACCTGAGAAGAAGCGGCGTAGAACTACGAAACGTAATAAAAATCAAGCACCAGCGAACACCGCAGGTGAGCCTATCGTAAAGTCATTTAAAATTCTGATTAAAAACACAAGTAATTCATTTCGTAAATTAATTTTGAACAGGGGAAGCGATTGAAAAGATGTTGCAGGAGAAAAAGATTTCGTCGAAAATCAATTACGAAGTACTAAAAAGCTTGAATGTTGATTTGAATACGTCGAAGGAGAAAAAAATTGAAGAATCGCCACTTAAAATAGAACCAAAAGATACAGCAACTTCCAGTAAAATGTTAGTACTATTCAATCTCGCATTTCTTATTAATAAACAATATAAAATGTTTTTTTTTGTTTATAGACCTCATGTTTCTTCGACAAGAACTCAAGACAAGCCAATCACGCCTGTTGCGAAGAAGCCTCGTATAGTGAAATCGCAGATTCCACATGTAAAAAAAGAAGAAACAGCAGTGCAAGAAGAGGATCCAGCAGATGCTGTACCACAGAAAATGGATAATGGTGATGAAGGTAAACATACAATTTGTATTTAGGAATAATTTTTAATCGATCTTATCGATAAAAATCTTTTCTCTATCATGGATGAAGATGACGATTACAACTTATATTATGACGAGGATAATGAGGCTGACCCGAATGAGATGACTGTTGGAGAAATGCTTGGACAGCATGGGTCAGAAGACGAAAATGATTTCGGATACGGATACGACGAAGATAATTATTAATAATTGTTTACAGTTTTACGATGTACTATTTATTTTAACGTAAGCTAGAATCAAGTAAACGTGACTGCATTATGCTAAGTGGAAATAAAGCATTTATTGTTATGACCCATATTATATCATTTTCAATTATCCTTGCCGCCGTGTGCCTTTCGTGAGGTTGGTATTAGTAGGTCGACACATGCGATTAGAGATCTGAAGTTAGGTTCATTCCTTCCAAACCATTCCAAACATTGTCAACGAAAGGTTATTCTACGTTATCGTTTTCAAATTTGTGTATGCACTCATGCATTACGAGAGATAGTAGCTATTTTAGGATTTAAAAGTTTTGGCAGTGATCTATTAACATGGCAAGTACTTCTTCCGATCAAAGCACCATTGCCAAAAAGACATGGGAAATGTCAAACAATATTGAAACAATCAGCACTGTTGATGAGATTTATAGATACGATCGCAAAGAACAGCAAGATATATTGGCTGCCAAACCATGGGAGAAAGAGTATGTGTATTTCATATTTATGCGTTTCAATGAATGTCAATGATACGACAGAATTTTGAACTACACGTTTTTGATCACGTTCCAGCCCTCACTTTTTCAAAGATATAAAAATCTCAGCATTGGCTTTGTTAAAAATGGTCATGCACGCTCGTTCAGGTGCAACTTTAGAAGTAATGGGCCTCCTGCTTGGAAAGGTTGCTGCGAACACAATGATAGTAATGGATTCTTTTGCGTTACCTGTGGAAGGCACTGAGACAAGGGTAAATGCACAGGCTCAAGCGTATGAGTACATGACAGCATACATAGAAGCAGCTAAACAAGTAATTCTCAATGATACTTGGACAAATTGATATAATTTATTCTACTCTTTTAAATAACTATGTTCCTTAAGGTTGGAAGACAAGAAAATGCTATTGGATGGTACCACAGTCATCCAGGCTATGGCTGTTGGCTATCAGGTATTGACGTTTCCACTCAAATGCTGAATCAAAATTATCAAGAACCATTTGTTGCCATTGTGATCGATCCTGTGAGAACGATATCTGCCGGGAAAGTTTGCCTAGGTGCATTTAGAACTTATCCAAAGGTAACAGACACGTTCGACAAAATTTCTGACGTCTAGATATGTAAAAACTAATGAGGCCAATTTCGGGATACAGGGGTACAAGCCAGCGAATGAAGAACCGTCCGAATATCAAACGATACCTTTGAACAAGATCGAAGATTTCGGTGTTCATTGTAAACAGTACTATTCTTTAGAAGTCTCGTACTTCAAGTCGTCTTTAGACAGAAGATTATTAGATTCCCTATGGAATAAATATTGGGTGAACACTTTAAGTTCTTCTAGTCTTTTAACGAACGCGGATTACACCACCGGGCAAATATTCGATTTATCGGATAAACTCGAACAGTCGGAGGTCGCACTCGGCAGGGGGTTCATTTTAGGTGGTACGGATCCTCACGATCGTAGTACCGTAGAAAAATTAATGAAAGCGACGAGAGACAGCTGTAAGACCACTATCGAAATTATTCACGGACTAATGGCTCAAATAATCAAGGACAGGTTGTTCAATCAAGTTGGTTGTAATCCGGTCGAGGCTCAGCAGCAATAATAGGAGATGAATGACTGTAACAATTTACATGTACGATTTCTATAATTAATACAAGAATAATTTTTAAGTGTGTTTAACGTGATTACTTCTTGATGTGTGTTTGCTTCTGAAATGATTACACGTATTAATATAATATACCGGAAGAGTAGTGGAATAAAAATACAATTTTATTTTCACACCTTGATTCTCTAGAAAGTATATATACAGCATCTTTATCGTTATTCAATATCCTCACAGTTGATTTATATATATTTATAGTTATAAAACTAATATAATATTGAGAACAAGTAGGCAGAGTACACCCCCACTGAAGGGCTGACGCTGTGTCACAGACTTTAGGACAAGGCCACTCAGAAACGCACCCACCTGTTCTAGAATTATACACCGCATTCGTAGCGCACAACATATAAGGGACGGAGCTAAAATGCATACACTTATACTGATAATATACTTACTAATGTGTTACGGTATTTATGGTTTAAAAGAAAATTCGGGAAGAAAATTAATGATAAAAGATTAACCGTTAACTTAATCATTCGAAATACTAGACTTTTTATAATACTAGAATTAATCGCACTTAAAAGACTACATACAATTCTGTTACATTAAATTAAATACAATTTAAGTACAACTGTACCGTTAACTGGATTTACATAAAATCTTGAAATCGGTGAACTCAGCAGGTAATTTCGCTGTGTCGTTACTCTTTCCTTTAACACAATATGTTCTCTGTCTCGCATGTTTCAAACATACACATTGTTTTACTAAGTACCTGCTTCGTATAAAGAAGAAATAACGCGTATAAAAAAAGATATGAACTTTCTGAAAGGGGTTCATCCATACAACTTTTTAAGAGTCGAGATTTTAAACGTTTTCAATTCAATCGCACTTTTACATTACACCTTTTGTTTAAAAATATTTAAATAAGTCCTATAATAAAAAGGAATGTAAAAATACTTTTTATATCGAAATTTTTATTCAATTATCTATATTTAAATCATACGTTAGAGAACAAAACGTTCTATTAACAACGAATTCTGATTATTTATATATTTAGTTTTGGAAATGAATTGATAAAAATATTGTGCTTCGAAAGTAACATCCTTTCCTCAGTTTTATACGGATTGAATTTTATTACGAAAGAAGTAAAAGTTGTTAATTAAAAGCGACTTAGTAAACGAACGTCTATGTAAAAAGTAAATGGACAATCAGAATTCAGCCCTCCAATGATTTCATATACTCCAAACGCATTCAAAACAGTATAAACACCACCCATGACAGATGTGAATGTGGGTTACAGCAAACTTAGGTATGCGATCCACTCTCCGGATAGCTAACAAAATTTTGTTTGTGAAAGAAAGCAATGTCCCTCTGGTAATCATTGACGTAAGAATCGTATCATGAAAGCATGTAATACAAAGGACCTCATTTTACACTCCTCGTAATAAGAATTTAATCACCTCTATGTCACTGTAATTATTTAATTATTTACAAGGCATTCGCTTCGGTTTATTACTTACAAACATAGTAGAAAAGATCAATTATTATTGTAACAGCGAGATTTAAGTGTTTGTCATTGATAATCGGGCAGCAATCTTTTTTTCCGGTGACAAACACTTTTCTATCAGTATTTTTACGAGTGATCTTAATAATTTTTGTTACATATCGTTTTCGTATGCGGTTTCTTGTTGCATTATTTATTCTATACGAGAAATTATATGCTAAATAAGAAGCTGATTACAAATTCAACAGATCAAATAACGATGTTGCATGTAGTATTATTGTTCTATCTGTCTATTATTCAGTTAGAGAAAATATTTACATGTCCTCAGGATACATGCAGCATAGTAAAAGAGAAACGTCACATTCCTTTCTTTTTGCTCTTCGAAATTCGACAATTTCAGTAATAAATTTCAGTAGTTTTGAAAGACTGCAAAATTAATACTAAGGTCATCTGCTCAACAAGCATCGTTTCGAGTCAGGTATAAATATAATAGAAGCGATCGAGCTATAAATTTTGAAGGTACTTTGCTATCCAACTACGTACGATCATGGAGAATAAAAAATTGTTTACAGAAAAGTATTTACAAAAATTATATTATAAAACATTCGTACTTTCTACAGCTATAAAATATGGCCTGTGAGCAGATGAAAAATTCGCGGACGCACTGTTTAACAAGAAATGAGGAAAGAACAAAATTGAATTTCATGCCGTGCCCACGTACGATGATGAATCGTCAGATTAATTAACTGTTAAGTGTTTCCTGTGTCAAATATATCCCTTTACCAATATACTTCCATTTTATCTGGCGAAGAGATGAAATTGGATTTCAGTCTCTATGTTAAACTCAATTACTTATTCAGACAGGCATATGTACAATCGTTTTCCTTAACACATCTTGTCACTGTATTGTTATAGAAGGAAAATTATTTACTTCCGTCTGTTCCAAAACTGGTCCAAGTGGCCCAGTGTAAGATATACGTAATCTCATTCTTAGAGGTACCTGTAGTAGAACGACGTGACGATGATCAATACCAAAGGAAACATCAAAGAATTATAAAAAAACTTACTTTGCTGATATTTGAAACTTTCAACACTTGTGTAACTTGTCCAGAAGGAGGAATGACCGTGCTTGATGGAGGTAACATTTGTAGCTGGAATGTCTGAAAAACGAAACAAATTAAATGACTCGCTGCTGGATTTCTAATTAATTAAATAGACAGTCTTACCTTAGGAACTGCTGCCTGAAACAGGAAGTCGGTCAGCATGGCGTTTCCAGAATTATGCGCCGACATACTAATGACCAATAAATCGTTAATGCTCGGTGGTTTTTCTAATCTGAACGTTATTTTGAGTCCTGCTTTGTCCAACACGACCATGGTAGGTGTATCTAAAATTACAATCCGGGACATAAGATTCGCGTTGCGCTATTAACAGTAAATGTGTTAAACTGTACAAACCGTTTTGAATCGACGACGAATCGAGCAAACCGTCGACTAAGAAGTTATTTGTGTTAGTGGGACTGAACATTTGCGACGGTATTTGTGTCTGGGGCAGTGTAGGTGCAGGTGCGCTCAGATCCAAACTACCAAGTAGATCCAACAGATCGTTATTGTTTACTACGGTTGCCGAATTGGGTGATGGATTTTTATTCGATACAGAAGGTGTCACTCCTAAGTCAGTAGTTCCAAGCAAATCTAAAAGTGCACTCTGAAAAAGAACATTGAAGTTATTGTAATACGTCTGATCATAGTTTGAAATCAAATATTCGGCACGTACTGAGTCGGATGGCGGAGTACTTCCTTCTAAGACTGTCGATTTCTCTTCCTCTGGTTCTGGTTCACCGTTCGCCATACCGATAATTCCATTAGCTTGCGGTCTTGCGGTTTCCATAGGAGGCATTCTTTCGAGCAACGCGGGTCTCAGGTGATCGTATTTTCTGAACAGCTGCGAAAACTCGATACCTCGTTGCTGTAGTTCTATATGCAAATTGCTACCGAACGTGTCGATTATCTGACGAATTTTTCTGTAACATGGGAAATATATACTTACGTAAAACCAACTATGAAACGAATAATCAGATAATTTAGGTAACACTTACTCGTTACCCTTTTGGAATCTCGTACTCAGTTTTGTGAGAGACAATAACGTATATTGTTTCGTAACAACTGTATTCTGTGGACTCCAGAGTAGCCTTTGATAAACGTCAATAACTTCGTCCTCCGTTAACTGATAACGATAGAAAGACGGAAATTATATAAATTCTTGTTACTTGGATTCCTATTTAAATATAGATAAACGTACATTGACAGGAGCGTCTACATCGTCCGAAGGTGGCGCGTATAATAATAAATCACCATATTCGCCAATACACCAAGTTGCTACTTGGGCCAACGGCTGCTTATCGAACGTGTCCTTCTCTAATGCTCTCCATAACGCGCCGACAGCATAACCCTGTTGCGCTTGTGTCTCCGAAATCAATTGAATGGTGCAGGCTACCACATCGTCTCGCACATAATTACCAGCCTGAAATGTAATCAGATAATAATGACCGATCCAAGTAGGGAACAGTAAAACGAATTATTTTATTCTCTCGTCACGTACAGCGACGAGAACTTTGAACAGTGTCTCAAGATGCCAACGTTTGTTCGGCGCGAATCTTTCCGCAGACATCACTATGTTACTACTGCACTGAGCTTTGAACTCCGGATCAGCGCGTTCCAAAAATAGTAGCAATTCCTTCATCATGTTTCTAATATTGTTCGAATTCACGAGAGCGAAACTCAGCTCCATCGCTCGTCTTCTGATCGACACGTCCGGATCTTTCAGACACTCCTGAGAAACAGATAAATTTTAGTTATTTTAGCTAAAGATCGTGAAGCCATGAAAAAGAAGACGGAACGTAGTGATATTACCAAGATTGTTGAACGATGTCTTTGTACGGCACTCGTGTCCACGTATACCGTCTTCAGTAATGTGTTCAACGCAACGTATCGAATATTCTTGTCGTTATTTAATAAAAATCGGCCTAATATGTTCACCGCTAACACTCTGAGCCCACTTTCGGATTTTATGTCCATGATAGATAATACAGTTTCGTACAATATCGTATTCCCAACGTTTTTACTTGTCTCCGTGTTGGTCGCAACTTGCGCGAGTATGTCGTTCATTGCCTCGGACGCATCGATATCGTTGCGTCCCAAGATTCGAAGCAGTCGTAATATTTTCACTTGAAGAAAAGGATCAGATACTCCGGAGACATCGTGCTCCGGAGAATACCCTGCTAGTATCAGATTCTTCAAAATCCTTACAAGATTCGGCACGATCTGAAATAATAAATTTCCTTTAATCGATAATATATTAATAATAGAAAAGTACAAATTTTTAATCGCTTCCCAACAATACGATTGTATTTCATAATTCTCATTAAAGATCGTTTTCAAATTACCAAGAAGCAATAATCGCTAAGTAAAACAAATTTATATTTCGTATCGTATTTAAAAAACAGATATAAGCTGCTAGACGAGATGAAACAGTAAAAGTAATTGTATTGCATTGTTTGTGCAAGAACTACCACATTTTAATGTCCGAACTGAAAGAAATTTAATAATTATGCTGTACACAATTAAAATACATGTTCGTATATCTACATATTTGTAATGCTATAAACAACATAGAGAATACATAAAAATTACAACACGTCGTTTTACTTTCGATACATCAATTCTGTCCCTACGAGTTTGATCAGTATCAACAGCACATCCATTGTACTCGTTTAAATTTAATGAAAATCAATTACATTTTATATAAAAGTGCACAATATTATACTATATCTTCAAAATACATGCACATGATAATTTGTTTTCAATACGTTGAATCGAGGAAGCGATTCGTATGAACAATTAAATATTTGCAATGAAAACAAATGAAGTCCATAATAAGCAGAACATGCAAAAATATAAAAGAATGCTTGTATGCATTTTACCTCTCGATGGCCGCATTCCTAAGAAAGATAAAACCATACTTATATTATGTGTATCATTATGAGCAGAAAAATTGCACTTATGTATAATTATTAGTTATATGGAATTCGCTTCAAGAACGTACTATCGTCATTACTTAAATTTATTTTGAATTACAGACTACATTCCTTTTCAGTTTCTTTGTAACAATTAAAATTTTACGCGAGTGTGTGTCCGCTAATGCTATAAGTTCAAGGCTCTGGTTCACTGATAATGCTACTACGAACTAGCTTGCAGCTATTAGACTAGTAGACTAAAAATAAGAACTTAATCGTATTAAAAAAAATGTATAATTCTTCTGTAAAATGACTAAGGATTTGACTAACTTTTATATAATGTCTTTGTTCTTTATTAACAGTTCGTTCAGCTTACCTTTTTAAAGTGGTTCAACGTATCGACACTGTTTTCGCACATTTCTGTGATGAGCGTGACGCCCGTGATCAGTACGCCGTGGTTCTTTTCCGTGATCAAACTCCGAGTAGCCGGCAGAAACATTTCCATCAATTCTGGCACGCGTCTGATTATCCTAAATGCACAAAGAGCTGCTTTTTTCCGGATGTACGCGTTCGGTGACTTCATTAGCCTCTCAACCTCGGATGCCAAATCTCTCGCCATTTCCGGTGATGCAATTGCACCCAAAGTACATAATGCCAAACCAATAACAAACTGTGTAGAGCTATTTAAATCACTGTAACAAAAATTGTCCGAGTGATTACCCATCGTTCAACGAAGTAGAAAACCGTTGCAGGAACATTACTTTTTTAAACAATTTGTGATTAAAAGATGTACATCTTGTCGCTCGTCCAGCAGTAACATCGCACCCAAGTAACCGATTCGTTTGTCTGTAAACCTTGGGGATGCGATAAGTTTTAGACACTCTAATTGGCCAAAATGAGCTGGATACCTGCGAAACAAGTACAAGTTTTATTACGTACGCTGCTGTGGAAAATCTGGAAATCAGTTAGGAAATCTGAGACGAACCCAAGCATGTGAATATATAAAAGTTTTGCAATATTTCGACATCTCCATACACTATCTTCTTCCCTGAATGTCGAACGAATGAATGCACACTCTTTGTTAACGACTGTTCTCTCTTCCGCCGCGGTCCTCGCAGCTCTTATTTGTCTGATGAGATCCCTCAACCGCGTTGGTGCAGGCATTCTAACTGTTGAGACTTTTAAATTACACATATGTTATCAAATCTAGTGTTAGTGGGGTTTAATGAATTCAAGCTACGAATAAATGAAAATTATGTTTCACGGGGAGTGCGGGCGACAGGGACGAAGCAATTTGTGATTCGGCACATGGAACGGAGGGACATTAGTACTATGAAGAGAATTGAAAGATTATACTTGGGTGAAAGCAAAGACAGAAATCATTTTATATCATTTTTTCCATAGACAAGTTTGTATTACTATTTGCTTAAAATGTAATATATCTAGAAAGTATTCATTAAAGAGTACACTTACCTCTTTCTACCGCCTCGTTAAAAGCTTGTTTTATGGAGGCCATGTTAAAGGCTGGGTTAAACCTGTAAGATACACACGCATGCTGTTTTACACACATAAACCACTTACAGTTATTTGTTGTGCAATGACATCCATCAATTGATTTCAATTGTTCTTACTTTCGCCAATAAATTACTTTCTTTAATCACTCCAAGTTCAATACAAATTAATATGAAGCTATGTTTAATAACTTTTCAATACTTCATTGCATAATGGAATATTATTATACTGATTAAAAAGATAATTGTAATAGAAATTATATTAGAAATGATGTATTACCCGTGTTCTGAAGCATTCATAGTACTCAACGATGTTCTCAAATGTATATGACGAGCTTCGGTACTATAAATGAAGTATAGATGATTATGGAACACACACTATTATCCTCCTATTGAGAAAAGTAATAAAATAGAAAGTAGTAAAGTGTTATTTGTAAAAACTTTCGGTTACAATTAGAAGTACAGTGTAAGTGAAATTAAGTTGACGTTCCCCAGCTCACTTCTAAACAAGTTCTCCAAGTTATTTATACTCTCATAACATACAGTAAACATTTATATTGTTGTTTTCGTACAAACGAATGACAGTGTTCTCGTATAGTTGAGTAACAATTTGGTTTGTCAATAAATCTGTAGATGCAACAGGAATATTAATATGCATCTCATACTACGATCTGACGCATGAGTACAATTATAGTCAATTGGTATAGAGAACATAAACTTAACGTAGTATTATTTTCTAAGCCGTGCATCGAATAAAAAATAACCGGTTTAGCTGACGAAACAGACTGATAAGTAGTCGGTCAGAAGAGTGCGTGCAATGGATATTACCTAGTTGCTTCGAATGTCAATCGACCAAAAATTCACGTGCCACAAAAACGCGTCGCGACCGCGATCTCGCACGAGTCCTCGGCATATTGTAAAACGTGTAAACCGGTTATATAAAAGATCGTTCGCACAGAAGGGCATCGAACCAAGGGTTAGTTTTCTAGCTGTCAAACAGTACCAGTCAAGGACGTGCTCGTTCTCGTCTCGGGGTGGCTCGAGATCGTGCAAATTGAACGTCGTACACACGACGTACGTACATAGAGAAGAACGTCACAGAAGCACGTTGGATAGGCGTGATATACCGTGCGTGGTCGTGTCGGTCACCTTTTACACACAAGTCGTATGACAAATACGGCGAGAAACGCCTCGCCTCGCCTCCCAGGGCGCGAGTCGTGCGCCCTCACTTTTGCATACTCTATCGCTATCCTGCACCTGGTATATTGGCCTGTGTCCGTTTGTGTATGCACGTATATATGTATACATATATATACATATATATCCACCGAGCATGTATGTTTCCGTCCAACTTTGATTTTATTATCTATGTAGTCAAACGTTACGTACCGTGGGAAAGACGTTTGATTCACGACGAGGGTGTTAATCGACTGCGGAAATAGCCATGGACATAGTTAAAACTGTCCACAGTTGTCTAGCCTATCACACGACGAACACCGTCCACGTTTGGTCCGCGGTATCCGCGCACCAACACTCAAAATGGCTACCCATTGTCATTGACGTTATTCCTGATAATTACTTGGACTTTTCGTCAACGGTTCTCGTTAACGTCTGCTCACCTCCCGCGTTCCACGCGTCTCATCGTCGAAACATTAATCGTTCGATAAAACAAATAGTATTACCGAAGATCTCTGTTGTTTCCACTTAATCCACGAGAATAAAAGACGATCTTTTATTTACGGTTTTGCTCAACGTAGTGGATAATAGCGGTGTTCCTTTCTGTACCGCGAAATTCGTATCAGGTCGCGAAAGAACGATGCCCTTACTATGTAAAATCTGTTTCTTCCGATCTGATAAGATAATCAAAGCAATTAGGCTCACAGTTTCGCAATCAGTACTCTGTTTCTTGTTAAAAATAACAATTTTTAGAGAGCTATGTACATATGAGTTCATGCGTTGTAATGTTGTAATATGCGATCCGAGGATGGATGTCATTGCACAATTGTTGATAAAAATAATGGAAAGGTAATATACATTTACGATATGCTAACGCAGCGATATATAATATGTTATAAAAATATTCCTGCGATTAAATATTTGTTATATTAATTACAAAATTCGGAATAGATGAACAATTGAAGATTTTCGAATTACATGCTCCAAAATAATATTATTCAGAATAACACACTTCATTGTTCAACATTCTTAATACCACGTGCCATGCTCTTATAAAAATGTACGTATTTCGTTCTTGAGACACAATAGTTTTCTCAAATGTATCATAAATCATAGGTTTATTACCTTCTGTTCAGTTCTGGCGGTAGAACACTCCAATCGTCAGACTCATTAAAGTAATAAGGCATCATTGTGTACACCAGAGAGAGATAAATGAAAAGTTTACCACGGAAGTTGAATATTGAAATTTACAATTATCGTATATTCTCTGCTATGCATGCAGCTGTGCTACCTGTTCCAAACACTTTTTATCACCAATATGACAGACAAGGAACCAACTTCTTGGCTTTATCTCTTATCTCAGGTATCTTGATAGCAGAAATACATATAGGGCAGTGATGTTTACAGTTCAGGTGATTGAGAGAGACCTTCTCACAATTCTATTACATAAATGAAAAGTTTTAGTAAAATTTTGTAGGAAAATTTAATAAAACGAATTAAAAGAGGCAATGAAACTTTTTTCTATCAAAAGTGCAGATAATTGATTAGGGAAATACAAATTACGAAACAAAGTTTATTGATAAAAATGTAGCTCCTAATGTAAATGTACACAATTTTTACATTAAAATACTGTTCGAAGATTAATCTATATTTATAAAACGAAATAGGAATGTGTTGTTAAGACAGATAATTATCATTCTGATTCCGTGGGGGGCGAATATCGTTGTTTCTCTTAACGCAATCCACGAGCCAGTGAATTCCTTCATCTACGCCATCCCTTTTGTATAAATGCAATGTTTTAATGACTGCACTAAGTTCTTTATTGCTTTATGCACGTACAACGAAGTAAAGATACGAATACACGTACCCATTTAAGGCAGAAACAGGCATAACCATGCAATCCCTTCGACCTATCAAATGTGCATTCTGATTAAAAATTGGCTTCACTTCTCTAACGCCCATACAATCAGGCACATCCTGTTTATTTGCTAGAACTAAGAGTGGTACACCTATTAGATGTTCCGAAGATATAACTCTATCTGCAATTAAATATAAACGTGCCTGTAATAAAATATCGCGACAAGTCGTAGATGATATATTTGGTTTATACTTTACCAAAAGTTTCTTTGGACTCAGGTATTTTTTCACGGTCCGACGAATCAACTATGTAAATCACGGCATGAGATTCAGCGTAATACTGCGAACAAGACACAATCTTATTACATGTCACAGATGAGATTTGATTATAATTGTATTTGAAAATCATATTCACTTTATCCCACAGTGATCGTAATTCTTCTTGTCCGCCAAGATCCCAAAAATTGAAACGTACGCCAGCTATGTCGATTTTTCCAATGTTTAAGCCAACGGTCGTTGTGATTTTACTAGGATTCATACCCTTGTAATTTTTCGTAAACTTCGTTTTCGCTGCTTCCAAGTAGGTCTGCGATTTGTAAAACCCATTCGGAAATAAGTTTATTTGGTTAACCCCGTACGCTTTTGCAATCGCTTACCGTTTTCCCTGCATTGTCGAGGCCCAGTATTAATATAAAATATTCATCCTTTTGCACAAGATACTTGTACAACCCATGCAAAAGTGTGTACATTTCAGTGCGTTTAAATGACCAAAAATTTACGTTTCATATTGTTTACATTTCCATCCAGAAAATCATGTTCGCTCATGACAGATCGTTCCCTTCACGTTCACTATCTCTACGTATGTAGGAGTTGGCAGTAGCTCATTGTAGTATAACATAAACGCGAATTGTAGACAAATTAGACGATAAAATTAAAGTACGTTAATTAAAACGTGTGTGTTAATGATCATGTAACTCTATGTAGTACGTATCTGTCCATTTTTACATGTACTTCAATTTATGTTATAAAACGCGATTCTTCGATCATCATATCGAATTCTATTGACATTTCGCGAATGATTACAGCTATATAACGCAGTGTGCTTAATATTTTTATTAGATTTGTTCCTTATTAAGGTTTCATAACATCGTAACAATTAATTTAAGGTATGCAGCGGTATGCAGCAGTAGATATTGTTGCGGCACGACATGTCACGTTCGAAGTGGCTAACAGTTCTGGCATTTCAATTGTTTTTAGCGACAAGTATAAATGGTTCGATAGGTGATAGATCTCAGTTTTACAGTTTGTGCCTTGAGAAATGCAGTGAGAATAATTGCAATAATGGTAAACGTTGTTTTTACTCAATAAATCCTAACAGAAGTTGAACAGATCTTCACGTGATAAACTGTGATTGTTCAATTAGAATTATTGGTTTTTAGATCAGATGTTTAAAGTACAACCGTCCTTATCGTTAAGGTTGCTACTTTGGTCTTGCAGAGAAGATTGTAGCTACACCTGTACATGGAAGACAGTCGATTATTTTACGTCCCATGGCTTGAAAGTTCCCCAGTTCCATGGAAAAGTAAGAATGCACCGAGCATTTACGTTAATATCACTATAGGAAAATTATTATTAAATTGTTTCATTCTAGTGGCCCTTTATCAGAGTTCTTGGATGCCAAGAACCAGCGTCCGTTATATTTTCTTTATTAAATTTTTATGCCCATGCTACCATGTATTGGAAATTTAAGAGAAAATGTAAATCTACTTATCCTATGTATTATGTATGGTCCTATTTTAGCCTGGTACGAAAATCCAATCAGATCGAGTAGGATAATAATATCTTATTGCAAGCTTACAATTAGTTCATTTCAGATTTGTATGCATGGCTGGTTTTGGTCATCTGTTTTCCATGCAAGGGACACTCCATTCACAGAAGTAATGGATTATACTTGTGCATTTATTATGGTTCTTACTTTACTCTATTGTATGCTATTAAGGTAAATTGCGGTAGACTATGAGATGGATGAAGAACAAACTGAAGAATTACTTATTTATACGTTGTAGGATAACTTATAGAAACAACAAATCCTTTGTTGTGATTACGTGTGGATACCTTAGCATTTTATATTCACATTTATCTCATTTATGGTCTGGTTACATTAATTACGATTATAATATGAAGTTCAACGTAGTCATAGGTAATTCAATCGAAGAAAACATCCTAATTGATTATACAGATTATAAACAATCGCAGTGTTCTTCACAGGATTTTCAACATTTGTTCTGACAATGATATGGTGGCGTCGTAATCGGAAGAGATTATCTTATATTTATCTGATCGGTTGGTTCAACGTATTAACAGTTCTTGTCACTATATTAGAAGTGGCAGACTTTGCACCGATCTTTTGGGTGTTCGACGCTCATTCCTTGTGGCATGCCAGCACAGTTCCCCTTGCAATTCTGATATACAGGTAAATGTACAGTTCGACTGGATCAATATTATCCATCATTCGCCTTCACTCTTGTTTCGACATTCCTAGGTTCATGATGGCAGATTGTTCTTACTTGAATACGGTTTATAGCAAATTGACATTAGACATTGATCATCATATACATTAGTAGTATCACTTGCTACTATGCAAATGCAACGTACGATGCAGTAATTTTGGATCTCGTTGATTTTTATATGACGTTTTTCAAACTATATACTTCTTACAAGGTATTTGAAACCGGAATAAATCATTCTACGTTCTACAACGTAATATTAGTCTTTATTGGCAGTACATCATAAGTTAGTAGTGTTAAAATTATCTTTCATTAATCAGTATGTATACGTATGCAAAACAATAGAACATCTTCAGAATTAGATGCGCGTCCTGTTTTTACTTATTACACGAAAATATACATACATATACTCTGAGGAATGTATTCTATCATGAAGGTATAGCTGCGTAATATTAACATTAATCAAATCATCGATCGATGAAAATTAATAAATTTTAAGTACCTCCGTATACGTCCAAAATATTTGAATATTCTGAAATTGTAGGTAACTATATAATATATATATATATATATACATAAAACGAGAGATAGTATATTTTTTATTAAATAATCAGTACTCAATTTCGACGTACATATGTATTAATGTGAACGGGAGTTCGTGTTCGATTAGGTATTGACAATTGCCAAAACGTGGATTCGAATTTGTAACATAATAATTATTTTATCGCGAGCCAGGAAAATCGTCAGAGAATCGTTTTCTTCCCTTTTTTTCGTGGCCTTCTTTTAATTCCCCTTCGTTGGAGCGATTTCGTACAATAAAGAACTCCGCAACGAAACGAGAAAGAAGAAAAGAGCTGCCGATTAACAATGAGAACGAGTGACAATGAATTTTTCTTATGTAAGCGAGTCTACTGATTAAAAAACGTTACATTTGTTAAAAAGTGTAATTGAGACGAAACGGGAAGGTAGGACGAAGTACCGCGGTTAATCGTCACGCGACGAA